TTAGGTGCTGAGTTCATAAGCCCCCAAAGTGTAAACTTTTAGTGTTATAGGGGGTAATCTTATCCCCCAAAGTGTAAAGTGCATCCACTCAGCTACTAAGGAATGATGATAACGATCGTGATTGGCGGAAATCATGGGCCTACGGCATTTAACAGGTCATTACGTAAGCACAAAAGCAGCAATACTGAATCAGACTAGAAATAAATCAACCAGCGCCAGGCGAATTACAATACCAATAAACCCTAAACCCTAAACCCTAAACCCTAAACCCTAAATTACCAATACATGCAACCTGAACCCTGAACCTCAAACTCCTGAACCCTACCCTGAACTTACCTTTGGTTAGTAGGGAATGAAGGAATGATAGTAATATATAGTATAATAGTACCCATTCCTTCATTCCCTACTAACCAAAGGTAAGTTTAATAACCTTAAACGATGCACCCCCCCAAACCTTAGTGAGAAAGCCCGCCACCCCACCGCCCAGGGCAGGACCTGTTTCATTCCCGGCTGTGGAAGTCCTCCACCCAGCCCTCGCCTTTGGACGAGCAGAGGTACCTGCATTTCAGGGGTGAGTCTGGACTCAGTGTAAGGCATCCTCATGACTGCACCCTAAACCTTAAACCTTAAGCCACATGATGCACTACGGTTGATGATATAAATCCTGCATGACCCATAATAAGGAATATACCATAAATCCCATAGTTTAGGGTCCTTAAGGTACTGCAGGATTTGTATCATCAACAGTACCTCCCCCTCCCCCTCCGACACTGGGTACGCGGACTCTCACCATAGGGCCTGAGGAATTCTGTTTTCAAGGATCTCTTTCTGGCCGTCTCAAACATTACGGCTTCGGGGGCTCCTACTGACTTTTTCACGATTCCTTAAACACCGACGAGAGCACTTATAATAGCTTGTTTAAATACATGCACAAAAACCTATACATGCACATACATGCATGTGTATATATGTGTATGCACGTAATATATACATCCATAAAATACATGTATACGTACAACCATGTACAATTGCACATCTTCAAACGCATGCATACATACCTGCACACATCCATAAATCCATGATCCATCCATCCCCCCGTTCGTCCGTCCGTCCCTCCCTCCCTCCATCCAGCCGGCGATCCATCCATCCATCCATCCAGCCAGCCAGCCATCCATCCGTCCATATTAAACATGTATACATATATATATATATATACACATGCATATGCATATATGTATACTGATGACACCGTATAGTCTTGCCGCAAGAAGGGCGCCTCGATGATAAAGAGGCCATCGGCCGCTAGCAGCACATGGACCTCGCAAGACCCAACACCCTAAACCCTAAACTACTGTTGATGATATAAACCCTGCATTACCTTAAGGACCCTCGACTCTGGGATTTGTGGTATATTCCTTATTATGGGTAATGCAGGATTTCAATTATCAACCGTAGGTTCGCCAGTGTTCCAATGACGATAGGGGTACCCTTTTGTCTGGCATTCGGGTTGAATAAGACGCCCCTAACAAATGGTGCAGAAGCGTACTACTGGGGAACCTAGTAAAAGCTTTTCGGGTCTAGGGCCGGAATTCTCAAGATTTAAAAATTTCAGCCTCTTCGGGTGGGTTTTGGCGAATCTCAGCGTATAAGGACGAATTAATCCGGTTTGTCGCATGGTGCCTCCATATCCGCCAGGCTGCGTTGGACCTGTCCGCGGGATACTTTTGGGGTATGGTTAGGGCTTTAGGGTTCAGGGTTTAGGGTGCAGGCGTAGGGTTTGGCGTTTACGGTTGAGTATTTTTGGGCTTATTACTGTTCGTAGACTTCAAACCCCGAAGTAGGTAGGGCCGTAATCCAATTTGCCATTCTAATTACCTGGACTGTAATTAGCTGTAATTGTTGTGCAATCTAGGGGGGCTAGGAAACAGAACTAGGACTTGGAGAGTGTATCGTTGTAGAGGGTCTGTAAATAATACTATAGCAGTGATCCTTCGGATCTCTGTACGTAACCAGATCAACTGCGTAGCATTGTGGAAGTTATATACTGTATTCTTGCCGAAACACGCTGAGTTGACCGTTCACCAGGGTTTTCTTGTAACCTATGGTGACGGACTTTTTGTGCAGCCTGCCAGCCCAGAGTGGGGTCATAGACGTGAAACAGAGTCTCTTACCAAGGGGTTTGGGGTTTAGGCAGTGGGAATTTGTCTTGGTGTTGAGGCGATTGAGGTCAGTGTTTCGGGCCTATGTCTACCAGCTTCTTTCCCAAGGGTCCAAGTACCCAGTAATCATATACTCTCCAAAATCCTAACCTACATAACTACAATCCTAGAACCGAGTACCTTAGTATTGGGTCCTTCGGACACTTGGGGATTCAGCTGCTGAATCGCCTTGCTACTGGAATATTCACGCCAAGTGGGCGAATATCCAACTCATCTTCAAATCGACGACACTGGACCTTAATCCCTGAAGCCAAGACCATACCCGAATGAAACCCAAAGTTCGAAAGTGTATAAGTAAGGATAAGTAAGGTAACTATACCCTTATTAGGAGACTTATGACCCCACTTAACAACTACCCATGAACCTCCAAGTTAGCCTCACAACCCTGACAAGCTCAGCCTCAAGACCCCTGAAGCCAAAATACTCTCACACCAACACTGCAGATCGTAAGTCGTAAACCAAGCCCCAGGGATTTAGGGCTTAGGATCCCCACCCCTGAAACCCAAAAACCCTAAACCCCTACAGCCCTAACCCCTAAAGCCCAAAAACCCCTAATAAAGCCCGAAGCTCTAAACCCGCAGCCCTACCCCAAAGCCTTAAACCTGCTCGCCAGGCCTGCGGATGCCAGCCATACCTCTCCTGACACACCCGGGATACAGAAGGCAGGGAAGGGCCTATAGGACTTAAGGGTTTAGGGTTTAGGATTTAAGATTTAAGGTTTAGGGAGTTTTTACGGTCATTTAAAATTTAGGGTTTCGGGTTGTGAGGTTTAGGCGTTGGGGTTCGAGGCTTAAGGATGAGGATTGCAGGTTTTGGTTGCTTGTGCAAATTCTATGTAAGGATTCTATGAGGGTTCATTCAGGATTCCATTCGAGGTGTAAGGGTTTGGGGCTACAGGGTTATGGGTGTAGGGGTTTAGGGTGTAGGGGTTAGGGTAGAGGGTTGTGGGGATACAAGATTGTAGGCATTGTTTCCATCGTACTGAATGTATCTGGTTTTACCAGTCTCGGCTAGGATCCCCAAAAGAGCTACAACAGTGATTAAAAGTAGTTTAGTTGCATTACGGTAAAGTTGTTCAATGCTTTTCCCTTTTTTGCTACTTTGCTAAAGTGCGTTTTCCGGTACTGGGGTGTAGAGTTATTGATTTCTGGCTTTACATCTTTCGATTGCTGGGGCATCAGGTTTTTTCGGCTGGGGTGTGCGGTCTAGGATTTTTGGGTGGCCTTCGTAATTGGAATAGGGGTTTGGGCCAGTTTTGGGCCCATTTATAGTATAACTATAATAAGAGCCATAAGGAATAACATTGGTAATTATTTAGGCCCCTATAGTAGGATATAAGAGTTCGAGGCCTGTCCTCCAACTGCACCGCAAGTTCGCGTCGCAGCGGTAGGGAGATGTCCTCCGCTTGCGGAGTTTCAGGGTTTATAAGGGATTAGGGCTTAGGGTTTAGGGTTTCCGAATACGAGAGCCGCCCGGCTTCACCGCACTTGTCAAAGGGGAAAAGGAGGGACCCTTAATGGGGCCCCTACCCTATAATGGGCTATATAATGGGTATGTAATAGCTATATTAAGGGTATATACCTGGGGGTCCTTGTTAAGGGTCCCTCCTTTTACCCTTGGGTACATTGCACACAACTATGCTTCCGTGCTTTGGAATCTTCCCTGTAGCAGGATCCCGATAGTTAGCGGGCGTCAGTGTACCCACGTCAGTATATAGTGAGGCCTGTTTAGGGAGGGCATACCATCTGCTTGAGCGCCAAAGTGCATACCGATTTCAGCTCCAGGGAATAGGACAGAAACACATCCTAGAGCCCGAGTTTCCTCAAGCTCCCTTCCTTCCTGCTTTTGCTCCAGCATCCCGAAAGCTCTCCATCTGCTTCCCCGGAGTTTTCGAAAGTCAGGGCGAGCCTCAATACCCAAAGGGTCCTAAGTACCTACATGGTGGATGCGGGGGATACTTACCCAAATCAAGATAGTAATTCCTACTACAGAAACCCTACTCTCTATTGATAGGAAACCTACACAGTAAGGCAAGTTTAGTAGATCGCCTTTGGCTTGCCTGTATCGCAAAATTTTACAAGCTGTGTGTAGTACAGACACCCTACACTACCCCGAAGGTATTCGGCATCATCCCCGGAGAACCCTGGCGTCTGTTAATATGGGATTTGTACTTGGAGCTTCATGGCTAGTTTTCTGTGGGATAATAAGTCCCCTATCTAATCTGGGCAGAAAGTATAGTTACCTCACCTATAACCCCACTTGTACCTATACCCATGAACCTCCAAGTAAGGACCCTACACAAACTGAGGCTCTGGTAGACTAAATTATGACCCAAACCCCGAGGTCGTAACACCCAAAGAGATTTCCAGCAGTTATACAAGCCGCAACGAACCCTCAACCCGTGACCCTAAACATCCCTAAACCCGAAATCCTAAGCCCTAAACCCTGAACCCTAAACCCCTCAACCAAAAACCCCAAACTACAACAGAAGCAAACCCCAGAAGTGTCTCAGAGACGGCCTTTTTTCGTCGAAAAGGAGAGTCGGCTTGCATTCACCTGAAGCCCTCCTCTTGAAAGCTTCTTTGCAGTGTAGGCTTTAGGGTTAGGAGTTATAGGCGTTGAGGGCGTGGGCTTCAGGGTAGTTGCTACAGAGTGCAGAGTGATTTCTACAAAGTTGCAAGCTGGGTTTAGGGCTTAGGCTTTAAGGTAGTTGCTAGAGTGCAGAGTACGGTGCTGCGACTCCCTACGCTTTGTGGGCGTCAGGACTCTACTGACCACCTCTCAGAGGAAGTCTGCGGCGCTCCGGCGAGCACGCTGCCGCCAGCGAGGAGGTGCAAAGGCTAATAGCGCCACGGCCTGCTTGCTATAGGGGCCTTCATAATATGTAATCAGAACCCGGCTTTGCGAACGAAGCTTGGCATGACTTGTGAGCCTCCTTCGTAGAGCCAGAGCCAGTGCTGGGGCCATCAGCCAGCAGTTGAGCAGCCTGTGCCGGAGGCTCCGTCGGAGGTGCATCCTTGGCCTTGGTAGAGCCAGAGGTCTTGACCTTACCCCAAGGGTCCAAAGGACTGAATAGTTAGGTACTCGGTTTTTGGGTAGTAGTTATGTAGGTTAGGATTTTGGAGAGTATATGATTATAAGGTACTTGGACCCTTGGGGTTAGGGGTAGCATCCGTGTACTTAACTCTCAGCTTAGCTTTGAGCCCATCGTTTATCGGAGCTTGGTGACGATTCCATCTATACACTGTCGAGAATCGGGTTTTAGAAAAGATTATACAATAATAGCAACAATACAGAGAGAACTCCCAGAATGGTATTGGTAAATATTTATGCCACTTTATTAAATGCTGTTTTGTTGTAGTTGCTTTGATTGTGCATTTGCTTTCTAGTTGCATTTTTCCCATTTGGGCATGTGTTTCTCGTTGTTCATGCCTGCATCGCTGTACTTGTCAACTGTTGCTACTGGTACACTTAAACATGTGTGTGTGTGTGTGTCTGTCTGTGTGTGTGTGTGTGTGTGTGTTTGTGCTTCTGTTTCCCTTCTACTCCTGCAAAGGGCTTAAGGGTTCTGAAACGAGAAGTCCATAGGGTCCAGAGAGCAACCATTACTTACCCATACCAAAAAATCCAAACACCAAACCCTCAAACCGCCGAACCGTGAACCCTGCATGAACCCTCAATCAACCCTGTGGGTCTCTGTTTGGGGTTTAGGCTTTAGGGGTTTAGGGTCAAGGGCTGTTGGGGTTTAGGGTTTAGGGCTTTTAGAGTTTAGGGAGCAAATTGTTACGCCATCAGCCTCTGTCGCCAGCGGCGGGAGGGGCGAAGGGTAGTGCATCTTCCCAGGCTTTTCCTTCTCACGCATCAACTGCCTCAGGGATGAGACTCAGGCTGATGTGTCTGGGGTTCCTTGCAGGCCTCGGTTACGGGTACCAGTACGGGATTGGGTTTTTCTAAGCATAGTGGCCTGTTGATGTCTCGCCAGTCCGCCCTTTCCGGGCATACACTCAACAAAATACCCTCATTCACTTCTCACCCTGCACGACGATCACGAGTCTCTGCTTCGGCTTGTTTCTCTGCGTGGTGGGCTGGTTTAGGGTTCAGGGTCTCATTTAGGGTTCCATAAGATTCAGGGTTAAGCCGTGTAGTAGCACCTTATGCTCTGAAGGTGTTGAATGCTTGAAACTCAACTATGTGTTCGCATTTTTTTGACCCATAGGGACATTCAGGTTTCGGGGTGTTCCGTTGACTTGTTGTTTGCGAATCATTGTGCCGATTTGCGATCCAATGCCGTGGCCGTGGAGGGTTGTAAGAGCTCGGCGAGGGTTGATGCAGACGGCTGCATGCATTTGGAGAGCCTTCGCGACCCCTATTTCGACACGTGTTGAAGGGAAGGGACTTGGTCTACATGCAAGCAAGCGTCTCTTGACAATGTTCAGGACAGGCACAAACATTCTCCACACCTCTTATGCCACCTTAAGGACATGCGCATGGGGGTGTTTCGACAATGATCGGAACGATCCCAATGCCAACATATTGTGCTTGGGGTTAACACCCTAAACCCTAAACTCCAAGCCCTAAACCGGGTCTATATTGGGGTTGCATGAAGTGTTACTTTTGTAGTACGCAACCCCTCATCTATGACGGCACTAACTCCCAGAATCGCAGATGTAGAAAAGTATTGCACTTCGACTGAGCGTCTTACGGCTTGCCCCCCTGTATTGCCTGACGTTCCCCCACAAACGGGCTGGACCTCAAGATCGTGAGAGCATCGTGTCGGAGTCGGCTGGTTATGAGATCTTTGGCCTTAGTGCCGTAAAGGGCTCATGGGGTTCAGGGTTCAGGGGTTTAGGGGTTAGGGTTTCGGAGTTAGGGGTTAGGGTTCAGGGGCTTAGGGTTTAGGGTTCAGTGGTTTAGGGGATTGGGGGTTTAGGGCTCAGGGGTAATAGGGCAGGGTCGAGTTGTCGATTCAGGGTTCAGGATTTCAAGTCGGTTTGAGGTTTGAGCTTTGGGGACTCAGCTTTGAGATGTCAGATCGATTGCTTGGCTTGGCCTATCGGGTGAGCACCCTACATGATCCAGCAGGATTTGGTATTAGGTCATAACTACTATTTGCTTAAGAACCCCCAAAAAATAAAAAACATATATTCCTTATGGGGGTAATCTAGGGATTATTATTTTTATTTTTTTGGGGGGGGGTTCTTAAGCAAATTGTAGGTCATAATCGGCTCGCATATTAGGGTCCTGGGTGCTCCTGTCGCATTGAGGAGGACGAGCTCACAGCACCTAACGGAGTGAAGTTGGTGGATTCTTCGCTGTAAACCCACCTAATACAGGGCTTGTCATAAGGAACCCAAGAGAAAGGATTACTAATCATCCAGGAAACTTTTAGAACACCTCCTCTCAACTCTGACCCCTGCAACGCTACACAATCCTTTGGCACTACTTGCAGGACACTGAAAGCAAAACCTCGCAGCTTGAAAAAAAAGCATCTTTGGTTCAAAACCTGGCCCTCAACCGTGACCCCAAACCCTAAACTCTAAACTTTCAAACCAAACTGAAGTGATAAAGGTCGACACCAAATGTAACATCTGCCATCATAGGGATCAAAAGTAGATAGTAGGGTTTCCCTATTATGGTAACTTAAATTCAAAGTAAGTCCCTCAACAAGAACCCAGACAAAGCTAAGACAGCGACCGAACCTCCTTTTGCTCGATACAGCTCCAGAACCTTCGGCCGAGACAGGGTTCAGAGGTTCTTACGCGGGTCTTCAGGGTTTGGGGTTTAGGGTCTCGGAATTGGGTTTAGGGTTTAGGGTGCTTAGGGGGTCTAGGGTTCAGGGTTAGGGTCCTCTATCTTCGGGGTCAGCATGATGTTAATCAGATACTTTCAAACACAGCCTTTAAGACTGCTACCCTAAAGCCAAGGTACCTAAGGACTCCTAGGGTGAACCTGCAACAGGGCTGGCACCACACTAGCTGGAACCGGTTAGGAGCGATGAGATCGAAGACAGACTGCGTTGCACACTGTGCGGCTTTCAACTTGTCTTGTAAAGCGTAATACAGGGGCCTTCATAATTAGAGTAGGGTTTGGGGGTAGAATCTACTATACCTATGATAAGGAACCCCCAAAAAGGTAGAGCTTTTTTTCTACGAAACCGAAACTGAGCCTGCAATGCCAAGAAACAAAGGGCTCGTGAGTCTTGCTGTCCACATAGAGAGGGTAACCGCAAACCTGGGACCGTGCCATTAGGATGTCCTTAAGGGGGGGTGGTCCAAGGGGGGTAGGTAACCATTATTCCCCAATACTCCCTAAGCTTCCCTAAGGTTCCCCAAGGCTCCCTAGTACCCTCCCCCCTTGAACCACCCCCCCTTAAGGATCCTATAAGTAATAGTGACGATAAGGATTATATTAGGGCCCTATTATATTCCTATTATATTCCTATTATACCACTATTGCAGGGTGGGGGCCCCTTCTAAGGTAAACCCTAAACCCTAAACCCTAAACCCCTAAACCCTAAACCCTAAACCCTAAACCCTAAACCCTAAACCCTAAACCCAATACCCTATACCCTAAACCCTAAACCCTAAACCCTAAACCCTAAACCCTTCGAAACGAAGCTCAGGTTTCTCCGGGACATGAGTACCGACGAGAGTTTCGGCGCGGGTGGAATCGCCAAAGAGGGCCGATAACCTAAATTTCAGTAAGTGTACCCTACTTAAGCTCTCAATGGTAGGCTTGCAAAACCCATAATTACGACGATAGCTGAAAGGATGAAGATGAATAAAGGATTTGGTATTCAGGTCCAATCATAGCTCTCTGGCGGGATCTATTGTGGAATTAGTCCACAATACCCCTTGACCAGGAATATCTTCATCACATGCGGCTTCCTTCGCTTTCGGTAAAATGGTTTTTGGAACCCACAGGCAGATTCTTGCGTCATCTTGGACCGCTCAGTTTCTTTATCAGAAGTACAAACACTAACAGCAGAATCCATTAAGACATAGCATTGGCATTACACATATTGGGTATTTTTGTTGTTTAAGCATAATGGTTATATTATCCATGACTATAACTCATACAAGTATATTACTAGTTTGTAAGAATGAGGACAATAATATACTAACCTAATTACTATACATAATGGAAATGCTAACAGTCAGTATACTAATGAAAAATATACACCGCACTAAGTTACATAATACCATAATACGAATGTGCTACTATTGGCAGTAATGAATACAATGGTTCTGAATCGTAACCTATACAAGTTAACGTAGCACTAGATTAATCGTTTAATATAGTCTCTACTAACCCAAGCCAACCCAACACTGGCTTCTTAGATGGGGGGGGTCTCCAAAACGCCTCACCCCCTAAAAAACACTGACAAACTCTCTTAGTCAAGGGGTATTGGGCTCTCTGGTAACTTGGGCATAAGCTTAGTGATGCACTTAGTGAACCCTCAAGTTGAGCCGGACTCATCCAAGAAGCAATAGAACCCCAAGATACAAATGGGAGTTTCCGAAAATAGGGGACCTTAATATAGTACCCAAAATAGTAGGACCCTTATTATAAGGACCCCAAAATACGCTACCCTTAATTTTCGGAAACTCCCAAATCGCAAACCCAAAGCCGAATGTTTGACTCGTTCCCATAGCCCAAAACCCTACCAAATTGTAGGTTCAGCGTCCCGAATCAGAAGGGACCAACAGGTTCGGGGATCCCAGGCAAGCTATTTGAGAGCCGTTTACAGGGATTAGACACTCTACTGTTGATGGTATAAATCCTGCATTATCTTGAGGACCCTGAACTATGGGAATTATGGTCTATTCCCTATTATGGGTGATGCAGGATTTATATCATCAACCGTAGGACCGCCAACTTCGGCATCAGCATTGAAGAACCGGAAGTGCAATGTAACCTGGGGACCTTAATCAATCTTCAACCCTACAGGGAACTCCAGAAAGTTGGAATATGGATTAATGGTAGGATCCCCTATAATTTACCTTAAAGGGGTTACGATAATGATATTCCAACTTTCTGGCTTCTACTGTATACACCTGGACCCAACAGGGGAGACCATCTCGTCCTGGTGGCGAAATCATCCTCGTCGTCGGCACAGATCATATCCCTGACGTCCTTTTGCCTGACAGCGGCGCAGCACACCTAAAACCAACTTCGACCCCTAAACCGACAGAACAAAATGAGAATCATGGGTTTGGGATATAGTATGGTACACATGTATTGGGATTTGTTGCGACTGTGCATTTCGGCCTTCCAACGTTGAAGCTTCAGGGCAGCCAGGCCCAATGATCCCCCTAAGGGTCCAGGTACACAAATAGTGGGTTCTACTTATACCAAAAACTATTCAGAAAATGGAATTCGGGACCTAAAGCCTTACTGTTTGCTGGTACTTGGACCCTCTAGGTTGGACGCTGCAGGGGGCACTTCTTGCCTTCGGGGTTTGAGGTGCGTCCGGCAACACACGGGTAAAGGACACTTCTCTCTACATCAGTTCCCCAAACCCATCCTTTACAGAACCCTCCGTGGAGCCGTGTAAAGGCAACTGCTCTCTGCACCAGTTCCCTAACCCTAGACCCAGCTAGACACTTACTACAGACAACCCTTCATGGAGCAGCGATGGTAAAGGCAACAGCTGTCTGTACCAATTCGCGAACCCCAGACCCATCTAGACACAGAACCCTTCCTGCTGGAGCACTGCAGACTTCCCTAAACTTACCTTTGGTTAGTAGGGAATGGAGGAATGGGGTACAATTATAACTACTATTACTACCATTCTTCCATTCCCTACTAACCTAAACCCTAAACCCTGAATCCTAAACCCTAAATCCTAAACCCTAAACCCTAAATCCTAAACCACTAACCAAAGGTAAGTAAAGCATCCTAAGACACCTCGGCTTCGGCTTCTCCGCTTGCGACCCGGCATTCGTGGCACCTCAAGACGGGCTGATCGCGACATTCATCCTTAGGGGGCCGAGTACCCTAGCCCAAGAAAGGCCAACCTTTTAAACTATGGCAGGGTGATATAAACCCTAAAAGGTTAAATTATGTACTACGTTTAGCTACTAAATATCTAATACCCTAGCCCAAGAACGGTTAACCTTTTCAATTATGGTAGTGTCATATAAACCCTAAATGGTTAAATTATCCAATTAGCTACTAAATATCTAATAACCCCCGAAGCACCCTATTCTTCTAGACCTAACAGTAACCTGGGAATAAAAAGGGTGCCCTTTTTGGCTTAAAGGGGGTTATAAGGGAACCTGAACCCTTAAAAGGGAAAAAGGGCCTACTCTAGGTCCTAGTCTTTGGGGAGAAGTCACGGTCTGGGAGACATTCAGGGTTCGGGTTTCGGGTTGATAGGGCTTTGTCCAAGACAAGCAAGGGTAGGTTGGTTGGGGGGTGTCCTCTGCAAGGCTTCAGGGTTTAGGGTTTAGGGTTTAGGGTTTAAGGTTTAGGTGGTCTTGAGCCTTACATAGGTTACGTGTTTTCTTTGCGACTTGTTCTGAAGGATTTGCTTTCTGAATTCGATTGTTTTCTCAGTTCAGGGACCCTCAAAGCTTTCTGTGGAGTTCGCTGACAGTGCTACATGGATGCTACAAGGGATCTCGAGATCCGGTAATGGTTTCACATGCTTGTCTTCTCTATGGCTGTTGTGTGCGTTTCGCAAGAGGAACCTCCGTTTGAATGCGGTTCTTGTGGTGTGGTTGCCTTAATCAGAAAAAGAGACAACCCAAACCCTGCAACATGGCTCAGCCAAGACTTACGCTGACGCTACTACGAGACAAGGCACTGGCACGGCTTTGGGCCAAGAGTTGCTGGTTCAGAGCGATCAAGCCTAAACCCCAAACCCTAACCTTAAACCCCAAACCACAGAAACCCCGAACCCTGCACAAACCCTAAACCCGAAACTGCAGAAGTACGGGTTTATCGAGATTCGAATTAAGTGCTCAGGTGACTGTACGGTTAAGTGTGGAAGGGTCGACAGTTTAGGGTTTAGGCGCCTGGGGTTTCTCAAGGCTTCTGCAATTTAGGGTTCAAGGCTTCTGCTGTTGTTGCTTGACGCGCACTTTTTCGCCAGGCCGCCCAGAAGCACTGCAGAGGCTAGTGGAATCATTGTGATCGCGCAAGGCCTCAATCCCTGGAGCTCGCCTAAGCCAAACATAGTCTTTTGGATATAGGGTTTAGGCTTCAGGGACCGTAAGGTTGGGTTAGCAAATAAATGTATCCCCAAACCCTACAAAACTATCTAACTACAGTACATTATGACATATACAATCCCAAATTTCCCAACACCTTCGTCGTTGAGCATGCAGCCCAAAACAAACGAAAAATTGGCCTCCCGCTCCCCCGGGCTCAGTCGAACTCCTCCGTGCTTGGAGGTCGATACGCCAACTGATGCGCCTCCCAGGGCATGGCCGGTCTCAAGGTGATTGTTTGGTATCAAGAGGGTCCAATGATCCTTAATTAAAGATTATTCCTTAGATCATATTAGGGGTCCTACTATAATTTAAGGTATATTCCTTAACTAAGGCATATTGGAGTCTCTGGGTATAGGTCGTATACCTTAAGGACGAAATGAACCCCAAAAGCGTTTACGTAGGTTCATATACCATATAGGGATTCTAGTATATGGGTATAGGGCTCCTACTTTAAGGGGTCATGTGGGCCTTCAGGTAGGGGCCTAATAAATAGAATAGGGCTTTGGCGGTGCATTTTCCTATAAGTGTAATAAGGAGCCCCCAAGATAGTGTTGGAAATTGTTGTTCAAGCCCTCATATTGGTGGTTCTAGGTTTCTGCAGGTTGTTGAAAATTTCTTTCAGGTACTCCTGTGCGTGTAGATTAACTGCCGTTTAACGGCGAGAACGGTTGATGATATAAATAATAGAGAGAAATCTTTGTGAGGAAGCCCGCCAGGTGGAAGAGCTCCCCAAGGAAAAAGTGAAACCATGAAGTCATATCATGCTGGTAGCCGCCGAGGACGTTCTTGAGAATGCACACGGGGCCTACTTGCTACAAAAAACCAGAAGGGGTGAGAGGGCCTAAACCACAAGCCAGAGCAGGAGGTAAGGCAGATAACCGATCATGGCACCACTAGCCGTATCGCATTTTCAGAACAGCAGCTCTGACAGCGAGATGCCATGCTAAGACAGCCTGATCATAAGGAGCGTTTCGTCCTAACGGCCATCCACGGCGACGCTGCGCAGCGTCAACAGGAACCGCAGGGCGGTCAATGTCAAGGGGCAAAGAAGGGCATTCCCAAAGGATATGCTCAGTAGACCCCACAGAGCTCAAGCAGAAAGGACATGTGACATCATTGCCTTGTGCGCGTGCATAAGCGGCAGGAGACATCAAGGCTCCTGAAAAGCTGGCAAGGTGAGCATGTGAAACACAAGCTTTACGAACGAGGGCCACGCGCGCTTCACTGTAACGCAAGCCCCGACAGGAAGAAGCATCATTACGCTCGGAGCGCTGCCAGCGCAGAAACAGCGCGCATCTCCACCCCTCCCGAAGGAGGTGCAGGCAGGCATCGAGAGGTCTCCAAAATGGAGACGCAGGGTCAAGAGACACTTGCGCAGCAATGGTAGCATGACGCCACGTCCACTGGTTTAAGACCGACCAGCCGAAATGCTTAAGAGAGCGAGAAATCACAGAAGACCAACCTCTCGTGCGACGCCAGTCACCCGGAGCGAGACCAGTAGAACTAGCCCGCCTCCAAGCCGCAGCGAAATTGGATTCAAGAACGCGATAGGCAAAGCATAAGCGATGCCCACGCAACAGCTTGCGAAGATCAGGAGAACCATAGCGAGGCTCGCGCATATAAACAGCGACCTGAGTGTCAAAACGATCCATGGCCCGCTTGACAGGAAGTTGCAAACAAGCGCCCCAAGCCGCAGTGGAAACGGCAACAGAGGCAATAATCACATGCTTGGATTTCCACGAAATGGGAAGACATGCAGCCCGACGCAAGAGCGCAAGGGCCTTGCAATACCGATCAGTCTCCTTGGCATTAGCACGCCTGGCACGAGCACCACGAAACGAATTGCCAAGGATGCAGGGCTGATCGGTAACCTGATCAGCAGGCATGCTCTCCAAAAGTGAGCGCCTGCCCCATGCCCTAGCATGGAAAAACTGCGACTTCTTCAAGTTATCACGCAAACCGAGAAGCCCATTCCAAGACGCCCATACGCCTTGAATGGCGGAAGCCTCTTGCAGAGTGGGAGAGGCCCAACTCCTGTCATCAACGTATGTGCGGATAAGCGAAGCAGGAAATGCGGACACAACCTCCGCAGTAGCAGGTGTCAAGACCGCACACATAGCAATCATAGACCAAGCATCCCCCTGCGGAAGACTAGTGCCTACCTTAACCGGAGAACCCAAAGAGCAGCCCTCGAACTCTAACCAACGGAGTTGATCAGACCACATGGCGTTGAGCATGGACCAAACGTGAGCCGGTATCCCAAGGGCCTCAAAGACCACTCCCGCGACAGCCGGAGAGCAGTGATCAAATGCCAGGGCGTAATCCAAGGAAAAAACGAAGTGATCCCGCATGGCACAATCCATGAGCGGGGCGAGCGCGCTGTAAAGTTCACGGCCTTTAAGACCGCCGCAAGCTTCAGAGGGCCACCATGACCTGATCCACTGTTGCGCCCCAGAAGAACGCAAAGTAGCACTTGACCAAAGCCGGTACCAAGAAGAGAAAATAGTGATTGGTCTAAGGCTATCAACCTCCCTAGCACCATCAACCTCTCTTACACCCTTGCCAGGTTTCGGCAGGTGCACCTGCCTGGCGTTTTTCCAAGAGGAAGGTACATGCGATGAAGTTTCACACTCCTTGCAAAAAGCATCAAAAGCAGCGAAGAACTCCAAAGGAAAGTCAGCTAACTCACTCCCGTACCACCCGTCGGGCGAAGCCGCCCTGGAGCGCAGCTTGGTGGCCGAAGCAGCCCATTCAGAAGGAGTGGGTCTAGCCCACTCAGTGTTGTCAGGCACAGGCATGCGCCGCAGCGCCTGAAGCACCCGAGCGCGCAAGGCATCGAGGTCAGGAAGCGTGCGATTCCAAACAGATAACCACTTCTCTTTGATGAGCTCCAAAGAAGAAGTCACATCGTCAGTGGCACACGGCTCGGAATGCGAAAACAAGCCCATAAATGGCGAAGCAATGGCAGATCTGATCCACCGGAAGCACTTAGTCTCATCATTGCGCATGTTGTCCCTCCAGCTCGCCATCCTAAGACGTTGAGCTTCAGAGCGACGTCGATTGATCTGCTCTCTCAGAGAATTAGAATTCTGCTGAAAGGTACGGCTAGGGTCAAACCACGGACCTTGAACCTTGCTACACAAGTTGGCAAAAGAGGCCGTGTGAGAGCGGCCCAAACGCTCCAGCTTGCACAACTCCTGTAAACGAGCATACGTGTTGCGCATACGGCGCAAGCGATAGCTTTCAAGGCAATCATCCAACTGACCCCGCAGAGGTAGGCCCTTCTGAAGACAAATTTTGTCCTTCAACCTGCATGGAGGGATAGGCAATCGCTCCTGAGGGAACTGCTCACGCGCTTGAGACCAGGCATAACGCAAACACACCTGGAAACGAATGCTGAGCTCGCACCAACTCTCATCAACATCCGCCTGAGTGTGCAGCTGAGGGCATCGAAAATCATTCAGCTGGCGCCACTTTCTAAGCAACCAGGTCTGCCACAAGAGTTTGGGCACAAATTTAGGCCTAGACAGGTCAAAATGCTTACGCAAGCGATTGACAGTGCGGGCTCTTAAGGATCTACGGGGAAAAATGCTGAAGCACAAACCTTTATGATCCGAAAATGCATCTTCACAGAATTGGGGGCTAGAGAAGCACTGCATGCAATTTGCCACGGCAAAGTCAATGCAACGATTACCTTCGAAGCGAGTCGGAAGGTTACTGCCATGACCGTCCGTCACAGCAAACAAAGAAAAGCCGTCGTCAAGAAGGGTCTCAGCGACAGGGCAAGTGGCCGGCTCATCATTGAAATCACCTACAACCATAAACGGTGTGTCACGTGGCAAGAGAGTCGAGGACTCGAAGATGTGCTGCACCATCGGCAGACGTACCTGCGTAGGAGGCTGGTAAACACATGCTACCGCAACATCACCGACGAGAACTGTGACGCATTGAAATTCAAGCTGAGAAATACTGCAAAGCTGACGGCAACGAAGCCGCGCATGCACAAGTAACATGACACCGCCCCAGGCCTGGGGTCCACGCTGCACCGAAGAGGCACTGAAAACTCGAAAACCATGCTTGGAAGCAAACCTAGTAAAACTATGCAACTCACTAGCTTTGAACCCGATTTCTTGCAAAGCAATGATATCATATTTACGGCAATGTGCGTATCGAAAGCACTCCCATGTAGCGGCACCGCGGCCGACGTTCTGAGAGAGCAACTTCAAATCAGATTCATCCGACCCCCAAGGACCAGGATGCGGATGAATGTCACCGTGAGTGGTGAGGTCAGGCATCCAACCGGAAATGCTGGGATATGGAATGGCACCGAGAAAGGTGCAAACAGTCATGAAAGAGCCTAGTCAAGCTGTCACCTTGAAGAACGCGTCAATCTCCTCAAAGGTCTTTCCGACAGCAGCAGCAAAGTTCGCTGCAAACAATGGCTCCTTGGCCTTGGTTCTAACCCACCAGGATCTACGAGTTGTCAACGCAGAAGCATTAGAATCACGCATCATCCTCAAGCGTTGTTTGCAAGTGAGCAACTTACACTTCGCAGTGCCCTTCAACATGCGAGTAAGGCAAACCTTACAAAAGAAGATAGAACCTCGGAAACCTTTCTGGTTTTGCTCAACAGGCAACACCGGGACAAGATCATGTGTGCGATGCTTTTTTGCAACAGCTTTACTGTGGATTTTTGCAGCAGCCTCGCCGATTTTGGTGCTCTTCTTCTTAGCACCTTTGAGCCTCTTGTAGTGGAGTGACGACGGGGTTTCATCAGGATGGCAAGCCTCAATGTGGGCAGCAACCGCGCGCAATCTGTCCTGGTTGGGCAGCTTCGGTAAAGCGGCACCACAACCAGGCATCGGACAACTCCAGTCCTGTTGTTCAGGCGGCAAATCATAAGATACCGAGAAAACCTGCGGTTTCTGTCTTTGCACAAGATGTATAGGCACATCAGGATGGCGAGTACGCATGTGGTAATTCTTCCTCGTGATGACACCAGAGTATTGTCCCTTAAAGACAACATCACAGTAAGGGCAAGGCCATTCCGCATGAGAATTGGCCAAGGCGGCTTTTGGGCGCCGCGGTGTCTTGAGGGCAGCCGGCTTCTTTAAAACCCTTGGCCTAGCAAGACGCTTCGGCTCGACAGGGACAGTGATGCGCTTTTGAGCTTCCGTAGAACCCTTGATTTGTGCCCTCTTTCGAGAAGAGGACGAGGACGCATGCGGGCTAGCAGAGCCAGCGCAGAGGGACGCCTCAGGCCTAAACCGAAGATGTGCACCCGACTCAGGGGCCACACTACCAGCGCGAGAAGACGCAGCAACACTGCGCATGCCCCCTCCGGGAGAGGCAACTCGAAGGATTTTGCCAGGCTTAAACCAGGAGGCTAAAGAAGAAGCATCATCATTCTTCCCAGCGCCCCGCACAAAAGCTCCCTTGGGAGTGGCATGCTTCCAGGTTTTGAAAAGCTTGCTGTAATCGTTGATGGTACGATAGTGATCATCACTCAACAAAAGAATGATCGGATCACGGAGAAGATCTTCACTTGCTTGGATTCGGGTTGTCATGTGCCAAGTATTGTTGGCACGCTTCTGAAATACCAAAATGTCAGTCTGCAAAGCACAAGCAATAGCCTGCGCAACAAGACCATCAAGCCATCTCGAAGGTCGCATGATGGCAGCGAGATACTCATCAGCATTCGTGGGCACTTTGCCATCTTCCTGCAATTCAGTGGCACTAGGATCAACCGCCCAACTATCACGCCATTCCGGGTGGGTGGCAAGCCAGTTGTGTGCCTTAGCTTTGACAGACATGGCTAACTTATCAATCGCGGCAGTGATAGACTCAGCGGGCTTGCCAGATCTCAATGCCATGGCTGCCGCGATGGCTCTATACCCGCAGTCTCCACTTCCGCCTAGATCCCAAACGATAGTGCCTTGGGGACCAGGCTCTGTCGTTGACTTACCGCGCTTGACACCCTTCTTGCCTTGTAACTCCGAAGCAGCAACAACCTTTTGCTTTTTGGCTTTGGGCTTCTCGGGTGTCTTAGCTTCTTTGTCCACAGAAGATTGATCAACATCAGGTCGCATGTTTTCTCCAACAGGAGACGTGCTAGCCTGTCGAGGCGAATGCGCAGCAGTAGGACTCATATCAGCATCATGTGTAGAGTCAATTTGCGTTGGGCCGGTCACGACCGGCTCAGAAGGCTTGCCACTGAACCAAGCCGAGCCACGACCAGCCTTAGTCTCAGAGTAGACAGGCTTGGCACGGCTCCAGCGGCAAACGGTGAGAACATGTGCACCAGATTGATAAACCAACGGTTCACCAGCAGAGATAGAGGCAGCATCATCATCAGGCGGCGAAGCAACGAATGTCCACTTTCCTCTAAGGGCTCTTGGAGCTTGCACAAGGCGAACTTCTTTCCACCGGTGGCTTTGCAGCCAATTTTCCATGGTGTGCGGGGACCAGTCGGTGGGAACCCCAGTAACCGAGAATTTACTGGAAGTTTTGGCCTCACCTTCCACACCTCTTAGACCCAAACATGCCCCAGCTCCCCGGCGACATGCCAAGGGGGCTTTAGCAGCAGACGCATCAGTCAAGCAGCGGCGAAAGTATTCATCAGAAGCTTCGCCGGAATAACGTTCAATCCACTTGACCGGTCGACGGACAGGTTTGTCACATGACAGAGGTTCGCAGAAAACGCCATGTCGGCCTCCAGACTGCAACAGCATGGCCGATACAGCCTTGGAGGCCTTGGCGTAACCAATAAGCTGGAGCTTGCCATCGACCTCAGCTTCGCGCCACCCGTAAGATCGGGCTTCGGCGCCTCGCGGAAGAATCTCCTGCAGAATCCTACCTGGATCACGGCGCATCTTGGTCCAAGCATCAGGCATGAACTCCTTGCGGAACATAAGACGAATTGCAACACCCTCGTCAGTAGAGGGGGTGGAGGCTTTCCTAACCTCGGGTTGTTTCGGGAAGGCAGGCAAATCAGCACCAAGAGGTACAATTGGCATACAGATGGCACCCTCACGCTCAGACATGAGCCAGTGCGTTTTTGCGCCGGGCGGTAAATCCTTGCTATCGGCGCGTTTATCCCACAAAAACAGTGCAAACTTGCAGCTATCAGTGAGGAGATTATGTACTTTGGCCACGGCTTGAAGCTCTACCACATTGTCAGCTTTAACGAGAGCTCCAATAGCATTGTCAGGCATTTCCCCACTATCCAACTTGGCACACAAGGCGCGATAAGAGATCACTTTGGAAGCGAGCTCTCCCTGGATCTTCGGAGGCCTAGTGAACAAAGCATGTTCCTTATCAGGCTGATTCTTAACATCACGCGTGGGTGCAGGAGCACGTGCCCTGCTCTGCTCCACTGCACGCTGCGGCTTCGGAGGCTGAGTGGGAGGCCTCGAGGAAAACTTAGAGAGGATCCCTTGAACAGCATCAGCCAATGGTTTATTTCCAGCTGGCCCTTTGTACGAAGAATGCTTTGTGAGCAAGCTACTCAAAGCACTCCAAAGGTCATCAGAATTCTGAGATTCAGGCTTGGCATTGGGAACATGCGCGGAGTCCTCATCATCTTGGTGCCGGATTTCCTCCAACAACTGCAAAAGCAGACGTTCTTGTCTCTTACGTTTAGTAGCACTGGCCCCCGCTGCCCCTGCACCGCCACGGAGCGACGCATGCAAAGGCAAATTGGGCCGACACAAAGCATGCCACGTGCATGCAGGCTGAACAATGGAAGATGGCAGAACATACCTTCTACAGTATCGACGCTTCCAAGTGAATCGACGTCGATTAACGAGTCGTGCGTTGACCAGCTCAACTGGTGGCGAAATCCCGGAATGCTCATGAGCAATGCGGAATCCCATAAATGCACAAATAACTCCACAGAGGAGCATGACAGAAGCACAAGGTTGCAACCATGCAGCACCCAAGGCCATCAGGACTACATTGCATACAGGGATAACTTCGCACCAGGAAGAACTGGTCCGCATCCACCACGAGGAGGTATACCCGAGGATGCATGATATAAATAATAAGGAATATACCATAAATCCCATAGTTTAGGGTCCTTCAGATACCATAAATCCCATAGTTCGGGGTCCTTAAGGTACCATAAATCCCATAGCTTAGGGTCCTTAAGGTACCATAAACCCATAGTTTAGGGTCCTTAAGGTAATGCAGGATCTATATCATCAACCGGAGAAGCCTCGGGTGCCCCCATCCCTGGCGCTCCAGGGGCTTTGGCTGTGTATTCCCGGAAAATCTATAATCTACCCTAAGGCCCCAAGGTAGTTCCTTTTTGGGGTTCGTATATAGAATCCTATAAGGTGACCCCAAAAAGGAACTACTTTGGGGCCCATGGGTATATTGGGTGGTGGTCAAAATTGGGGTCCCTTTTTGGGTCCCTAAAATAATACGGCAACCACCCAAAAGCACGACCAGTCTGGTATCAGGCCCCGAAAAGTATTAACTCCAATAATGGTAGTCTATATGGACCCTCTTGAATTGTAAAGCGTCCCAGAGTGGGTGCTGTTCTTCGGACGAACGAACCAGGTTTTCAGCTCAAGCTTTGCTGCGATTCACGCGGTTCCGCAGCAGACCGGCTTTTTCAGCATTGGCTCCCTTATGGCCGTCGGGCTCCTTAAAACTAGCTCTACCATAGCCTTTACATGAACGAACAGGATCGATTCCTCTTCTGCTTCTGGAGTTTCGCAGACAAGCACTCAAAAACCTGATGGCATCATGGCGATTCCTGCAAACCGCACAGAAGCGCAGCCTATGATCCCATATGGATAGATCATAGCCCCCGGCCTAAAACCTTCACACGTGACTGCTAAAGGATAAGCCATCATGCATCAAATATGTACCATCAAAGCAGCAGATCATTATGTAGATCATGGTCAAGTGAACCCGGTACCGACGTAATCAATTCTAAATAGGCTGGCCAAACTAGGAAGTACTAGGAAGCTTTGTATGAGCAACCATATGGGTAGCCAGGATCTTTCAGGAGACTTCTGCCTGTCTTCTAACCACGGAAGATAACAGGTTCAGATCCCATAATTATGTGTTGGGTAGAGGTGCATAACACTCCAAAACAGCAGGTCGTTAGCGCATAAACCTCTGCCCGCCTTCGAACCCTTCAGAAGCGTACAGATATCCGTAAGAGTGTAAGTGCATAGTTGGGCGTTGGGCTTAGGGTGACGAAACATGGGTTATGATCGCGGGACCCAAAACATACCAAAACCCTAAACCCTTCCCTGTGAACCCTAAACTTTCAGGAAGAAATGACGTCTGCTCAAAACGTTTCACTCGAAACTTATTGGCACCCAAACCCGAAACAATGTCTATAAATCCTGAACCCGGAACCCCTAAACCCCAAACCCTTTCAGCAACTAGGTCCCTGCCTTTTCCATGACAGTGGTTCGAACCCTCTTCGCCTCAACTGTGCTGCGCTCCCCTACGGCTCCATGTACTGAGGCCTTAAAGTACTCATGTGGGAACTCCTTGAAGGCCTAGGGATACACTAATATGCGAGGTTCCGCACTAGGCCCTCACAACGGGTGCCCTTTTTCCTGCCATTTGGTCTCAACAAGGAAACCCTGAAAGGCAAAGGGCAAAAGGGTACTAGTGAGGAACCCAAATAATAGTAAATTAAGGAAGACAGCATTATTTCTAGACCCAAGAGTAGCCTAGGAACAAAAAGGGTGCCCTTTTTGGTTTAAAGGGGCTTATAAGGGAACCTGAACCCTAGAAAAAGGGAATAAGGGCCTACTCTAGGTCCGAGATTTTGTAATAGGGATCCTGCTATCATGTCAGGGATACGACTTCACTATGCGAACCTCTGAGTACTTATTACGGTTGATGATATAAATCCTGCATTACCCATAATAAGGAATATACCATAATTCCCATAGTTTAGGCCCTTAATAAGGTAATGCAGGATTTTGTCCATCAGCCGTCTGGGCCGGCCGCTCTTTAGTGCCGAAACATAGTACGGCACCCTTATTCCAAGAAGGACCCTAAAAGGGACCCTGATTGGAGAAGTACCCTTTTAGTACCCTTATAGAAACCCTTATAGATCCCTTTAAGGGGCCCTAAAGCCTTTAGGGCAGCTTTAAGGGGACCCGAATGTCGAGAACTACCCACATGGGCACCTGGAGCCTGCGGGCTCAGGAGCGAACCGTGCTCGAGGCGGGCTAACCGACGGAAGCAAACGCGAGTAATGTAGGGCCCTTAATGATTAGAATAGTTTTCTTTTTTTTTGGGGGGGGGTTAGTTATACTGTCATTATAATGAGGAGCCCCCAAAATAGTATCGGAAATTTATCCAGGCCCCTGCAGTACTCCTTCAACCCTACCTTAAACTAGCATAACCTGCTTGTTCCCTAATATGGAGCTTATAGGAACCCTACAAGAAGTACATAGGGTTTGGTAGGTGAAGGTAAGCCATCCTATGTATTTAACTAGAAATTAAAAAATCAGAAGCCGGACTCATAAGATCCCACAGTGTTGTAGCAAGGGTTTCAGGGACTTAGGGATGTCCAAAAGACACACTATATACGAACCCCAAAAAGGAACTACTTTGGGGCCTTAGGGTAGTGAAGTGGCATTGTAAGACTGTTGCTCTGACCGAGAAGCTTGGCCGCCAAGTCCCAAGTACCTGCTTGGGGCTTAGGGTTTAGGGGCTTTGGGGCTTGAGGCTTTGAGTTTGGGGAGCAGGAGAGATAGACCGGAGCCTACATGTCACAATGCTTCAGTGCTGAGTTACCCAGGGCATAGGGCATGAGTGGGACATAGGTACGTCAACTAGGTTCTAAGTGCCCTGAAGCGCAGGGCTGACAGTGTCTGGGGCCAGGCCCCACATGATAGGATTAGCTCTGACAGTCTGAGTATGAAAGGAGGACCAGCGTCGTCCATGCTTAGCTATGCTAAGCATTTACTCCTGGTGCATGCTTACTACGGAAGCGATCCTGTGTCCCAACCACCTCAACCCTCAAGCCTCAATCCTGCCGCTACCTGAGTAGCAGGCGAGTGCTGCATCAGGTTTCAGGATTTTTTTCAGGCTCCATGAAGCCCAGCTATAAAACTCTTATATAGATCACTGAAAAGGTCCCTGGCACGGAACCCTGACCTGTGTAATTATTAAGGCCTCTAGTTGGAGGCTCATGGGTAGTCATAAGTGGGACTGTAAGTAAGATACACGTAACTATACTTATACCGCTTACTAGGGGACTGATAACCCCACTTACAACTACCCAAAATGTCATCCAAGTAAATTTTAGCTATTTCCAGCTTATGGATGCCCTTGGACCTTAACTAAAGAACTAGACACATAAAGAAAGAGGTAGGGTATAATGGGGGTTTCCGAAAATTGGGGACCCTAATAGTAGGATCTTTACTATAAGGACCCCCAAAATAAGGTAGCCCTAATTTTCGGAAACCCCTATATGATTTTGCCTATTTGCAGCTTAACCTTAAACCCTAAACCCTAAACCTTAAAAACCTTAAGCCCTAAACCTCAAACCCTAAATCCTATACAGGATATGATTTTTTTCTGTTTTCCAGCTTTATTTGGCGCCTTTGGAGCGAGAGCTTGAGCAAGGTGAGCCCTCCGGGGACCCTGACCACCTCCAGGGAGTACTCCTGGCTCGACCCTTCAATGGTCCCTTGAATAAGTTGGGTATCGCCCCCATACAGTGACAGTCTACAAAAGGGCTACTATTAAGGGCCTAACATGTCTATATTATGAATATATAATCCAACTGTTGCTGAGACGGGGCAGTACCCAATGAATACGGATTTCGATAGGGCTTCTATGAGGGTGCTATAGGGTAGCCCCCTAAATTAGCCTTCAAGGGACCGACAAGGATTTCGATCAGGTTTCTATGAGGGAACTTTATGGGTATAGTTCTCCAAATTAGGGGGGAACAAGGCTTCAGGGCTTAAGCTTTCAGGTTTAGGTTTCGGGGTTCATGGCCTTCGGGGGTTCAGGGCTTACCTGATACTTTGAAAACCCACATCGTTAGGGCTCCTCGTACGTTTAAAAGAAGGGCGAGAACCCCAAGACCCCAAGAGTCCAAGTGCCGTTTAATCATACATACACACACACACACTATATATATATATATATATCTCTCTCTCTCTCTCTCTCTCTCTCTCAAATACTATCCCATGAAGTGCCGCACCAGCTTGCTGGCGAACTTCGTTCAAAAGCGTCTACTTTCCTATAAAACTACCCAACCACGATCATAGAAAACTGCGACCATAAACCCAAACACGCCTCAAGACTCAGGGGGCGTAATATAGGGCCCTAAGTAATTATCCAGACTATTTTGGGGGCTCCTTATTATAGTCATAGCATAATAGGCCACAAAACCCGATTCTAATTTTTGAGGCCCCTATACGTAGCATAGGACCCTTAGAGGAACCCTTAGAGATCCCTTAAAGGATCCCTTTTCAAACTTGTCAGGCCCCTATATTAGGGCCTGGGCTTTTCGCCTTGGGAGCAGAAGTTGCAGGGCTGAAAGCTTTGGACTTTGGGGTTCAGTCTGCACATGGGTGGTTGTCAAAATTAAGATCCCTTTTTGGGTACCTTAAATATTAGGTGCCGTATAATAGGGACCCAAAAAAGGGACGCTGATTCTGACAACCACCTACATGGCTCCGGGGGAGGGGGGTCCTTTTATAAGTATAGCGTCATATCCCCCCAAAGCCTATTCTACTTATTAAGACCCCCCTTGAAGAATTGGACTTAGGGCTCGAGCTGAATATGGCTGAACATCCTTACTTGGAGGTTTCATGGGTAGTTGTAAGTGTTCCTTTAAGGTCCCTTTGGAGGGATCTTAGGGATTCTATAAGGGTTTAGGCTTTAGGGCCTACTTGGAGGTCATCTTGGGTAGTTAGAAGTGGAGTTAATCGTCCCCTAATATTTAAGGGTTATAAGTATAGTTACCTTACTTATAACCCCACTTATAACTACCCATGAACCTCCAAGTAGGATCTAAACCATGGCAACCCTTGCTGCAGGGGAATGATCCGTTATGCAGTATTTCGGCTCCTTGCGCAGAAGATTGCTCAAGCACTGCTGCATTTTCTTCTCCTTGAGCTGGCGAAGGCAGGCAGGTTAGCTAGATGTAGGTAGGTTTTGAGAAGGCACTTTTACTAGGTGTCGAATTCAACAGTTCCCAAAACCATTGATAGTTAGGGCTATATTTTAAACAATGGGGGAAAGTAACAACTATTACACAGGGCCAAGTACCCAATAATAGGACTCCCAAATTACACGCTCTGAAGGGCTTGTGGTACCTGCAGCCCAAAAACTTGACAAGGTAGTATCAAGGCTGAGGATTTCGGGGCTTGAGCTTTGGGGTTTGGGGTTTACATATTGTCTCCGTTGTGGTTCCTTTCTCTAACCAATTTCACATTCAGGATCCTTCAAATTAACCCATGAAAGGAACTACAATGGAGACTATAGGTAGTTTCAAGGCGCTGGATATTCATGTGGATATGGATTCGTTGTAACGGGGGTGTCTCTAAGGTACCCTTTAGTAGCATTTCCTTCTAGCCTTCCGTGCGACCGTCACCCCAAGCACTGCTATGCACGGCCCCAGCCTACCAGGTCTACAACGGCTACAGCTTAGGAATTCAACTACGCGCGAAACGATAACCAATCGAGACCTCTGGTTATGAACAACACGTCTCCGTGCGATCCTTGCATAAAACCTTGTAAGATTCTAAATCGAATCCCACCAATAAGTAATCATGATAATAATCACAATCATAGTAGTAGTAGTAGTAGTAGTAGTAGTAGTAGTAGTAGTAGTAGTAGTAGTAGTAGTAGTAGTAGCAATACTTGTGATAATGCGGGAACCCTTGTTCTATTCTTTTCAATTTCAAAAAGCAATCATCCCTCAGCACACAAAAGGCACACAAATACTATTCGGGGACTTAGACGCAAACAAGCAGTTCAGCTCTCCTTGTTGTTTTTTATTTGATGCATGGGGCTCCCTGGCAAAACGGATGTATACATGGTCATTCCGGAAGACTACGGCCCACCCTATGACCCTAATCCCAGCCCTCAGCCCTAAACTAATCCTAAATCTTGGGTCAGTTGGGAATAAGGCTTCACGGTATCCTGGTACATTGGGGTAAACTGATACGCCCGTTGTGATCCCTAGAGAGTATAACGTCACCGTTTTCATGCCGGGTCACCTCGCTTTTGGCCGGTGTCCATTCGCGGAGTGACTCCACTCCAGCCTCCAGAGACTTGGCTCTTGGGGATTGGCCGCTCACGGTCTCACCGGTTGAGGGGGTCGTGTGTTGGGTTCAGGCCATAGGGCTTTCAGGGTCTTCGGGTTTAGTTAGGACTGTTACTTGTTACTATCTGTTACTGTTATTGTGAGTTGTAGTTGCTGTTGTTGTAACGAATGTTGCTGTTGTTTTCGTCCCGATGAGGGCTTGACGATCACTATGACTGTCACTGGCACTATCAGCTGTAGCTGCTGATGTTGCAATGGTAGTTGCTGCTCTTGTCGTACCGATCAGGGTTTACATAACCTTTGTGATGACGGTTTCTGCTACTATCAGTGACTCGTGTGGTTTATGCTTGCCCATAATACTCAGTAGTGTGCCATTTGTCTGGTTGAGCATTCTCTGAGAGACTTCATGCAGAACGAGCCGGCTCATGGGCTGTAATCTAGGGGCCTTCATCATTAGAACAGGGCTTGGGGCCCATACAGTACAGTTACACTTAAAAATATGTTATCAGGAGCCCCCCAGAATAGTAAGGTAAATATTCAGGCGCCTAGAGCAGGCCACCCGTCGTCCCGAAATCAATCTCTCATAAGCTCCAACACCCGGATTCACACAAGACATGTACATTTTGGGCTTTGGGGCCGTGGGCGGAGCTTGGGTTTAGGCTTCTCTCGAACTTCCCAGGCAACCTCTGAATTTCTGTAGAAGGGTACAAGAAAGGGCTCCGAAAGGGTTCTACGTCAATAAGGGTTTTTTTAGGAGTTCATGTTCTGCAGGGGCCTGAATAACTGGATCATAGGGATCCTTAGGGGTGTAGGGGGGAGGGGTGTAGGGGACTATATTTCCTTAAATAGGCCTTGTTAGTCCTTATTATGGGCCTTAAGGCCCCCTACCCCCCCTCCCCCCTACACCCCTAAGGATCCCTATGACTGGAGCAGGCTCAGATCGGGACGATCACGGATCATACTATCAATGCTTCAGGTGCCTACAGTAGAAGCCAAAAAGTTGGAACATCATTGTCCCCATGCCCTTAAAGTAAAGTATAAGGGATCCTAGCACTAATCCTCCTAAGGTGATGTTCCAACTTTCTGGCTTCTACTATATATACACCGCAGAAGCCGGTCGAAGAGCACCAGTCCTCATAACGGAAGGGCTGAATACCCTAGCCTAGAAAAAGCTAACCGTTTCAATTATGGTGGAACTGTTGATGATATAAATTCGGCATTACCTTAAGGACCCTAAACTAAGGGATTTTATGGTATATTCCTTATTATGGGTAATGCAGGATTTATTATATCATCAACCGAATTGCACACACCCTAAAAGGTTTTACTTCCTCAGTTACTAAGACCCTTTCCAACCCAGGTCCTCGAAGAATCCCAGAAACCAAACTTTCAATCCTCTCCATATGGGAGTTTTCGAAAATGGGGGGGGGGTACCTTATTTTGGGGGTCCTTGTAATAAGGATCCTACTATTTAGGGTGCTAGACTAGGGTCCCCTATTTTCGGAAACTCCCATATCGCCAACCGCCAACACCCTGGAACCTCAAACGCTCAAACCCCCGAACACAGAATGAACCCCAAAACACTAAACCAGCAACTCCACCCGAAACCCTACCCACCAGGTCCATGGGTAGATAATTTGGCCCGAAAACATGTACTATACCTAGAGGCTCCATCCTGGTTCCTTTTTGTGGTTCATGTTTAGAAACCTATACGGTAATCACACCTATGGGTAAAGGTGCTTGGATCCGTAAACGGATACCCAGCTTTGGCCTGTGGAGAGGTCATTATGAGGACATCGTGGGTGACGCGGCGCCTTACGAACAAGGCTCTCCACTTGGAGGATTTCATGGGTAGTTATAAGGGTTCCTATAAGGTTTCTTTGAAAGGATCTATAGGGATTCTATTAAGGGTATAGGGTTTAGGGCCTGCTTGGAGTTCATGTTGGGTTGTTTTTGGTAGGGCAATTACAAGTCCCCTAATAAGGGGCTCTGAATATAGTTGCCTTACTTATAACCCCACTTATAACTACCCATGAACCTCCAAGCACGAATCTGTGCCACTCGACCCTGAAACGATGCGTCCTGTTTTGGGATGGCCCCGCCCACCCACAAATTACGGCACTAAGCCCAAACCCCAAAACCGTACACCCACACAAGGATCCCAATGCAGAGTAACTGAGGGCGAGTGTGATTTCATCGGATTTGAAGCTTCTGTTTCGAGGGGTGTGGGGCCTGCAGGGGTTTGGTCTTAGGCTTTAGGGCTTGAGGTTCAGGGTTTAGGGCTTAAGGTTTACGGTTTGGGCTTTATGCGCCTAGGATGAAGATTGCTTCTGCTGTTGCTCGGCAGGCGTCGTTGAAGCCTCCGCTATGATCCCAGGGACTCCAATATCCCTTAATTAAGGAATATTCAGTAAATCATATCAGGGATCCTACCATAATTTAAGGAATAGTCCTTTATTAAGGGATATTGGAGTCTCTATGATGCCTGTGCCGTTGATGACCATGCTTCTGAGCCCAGAATCCCAAACACTACACCCTAAACCCGTCACGTCCGTCATACCATTGTCATGGTTCTCCCGAAGGGTCCGCCTAAGTACTTATATAGTAGAATGTGGGGTTTCTATTTTGGGAATTACTACTATGATTTGGGAAGTATGCCCCATAACAGTACCTAGGACCCTTTAGTTCTGCCAGTTGTGCCTCCGCCTCAACAGTTCCCACACATGTCAGGGCTTTACCATAGGCTCCATAGTAGTTCCTTTTTGGGATTACGTGAAAGGATTGAACCCCGAGAAATACCCTTTCTCCATAATTAAGAGGTATAACCGACTGTTTGTAGGGTTTGGAGCAATATACAGGAGAAACACCAACATCACGTTCTGAACTCTTCCCTTTCTCCTAGACTCCTAGACCTTTATGACTGTTTTATTTCCCATGTAAAAGTACCGTGCTGCTAAACTGCAAGCACATGGACACCTGCGCAATGCTTTGTCCCTCCCCAGAATGATGGACGGTACATGCTAAACGTCCACCAATCATAAACCCTACAACTCAAGAAGAAACTCATAAAACCTGTGGAGTCTGAACATCAACAAGGACTGCTATATCCATTATACGCCAGGGCTCTCTATTCAAGGGCACTTGGGGGCGGTCCTGGTAAATGGTAAACCCAGCACGTAGAACCTAAGGCATGAAACACCAAACCCCAAAACCCTAAACCCTAAAACCCCAAATCCCTAGACCCAAAACGCTACCAACTCAAGACCCCAAAACGTGAGCCACGGATCATCTTCAGGCAGCGGATCTTCAACTTCTCCAGGAAAATTCGCAGCGCGAAGGCTGCGAGCTCCTCGCTCAAGATGCAAAAGGGCTTCGTTCAAGGGACACTTTGCTCCAAGGGTAAAGGGAGGGATGATTAATAAGGACGCCTAGATATATACCCTTATACAGCCATTATATATCCATCATACAGCCCATTATGGGGTAGGGGTCCCCATTAAGGGTCCCTCCTTTTCCCCTTTGATTTACGGGTTCTTTGCAAAAAGTTGTGCCTTAGATATCAGGGTTCAGGCCCCAAGCCCTAAAGTCTCCATTGTAGTACGTGTTTTGTGTTACTTTCCAGGTTCCTAGATAGAAAGATTATTAAACCAAGAAAAAGCACTACAACAATAGAGACTATAATCAGCATAGGGTCTCGGGGTAGAGCTCGAAAGGGCGGGTTTAGGGTTTAGGGGTTCAGGGTTTAGAGGTTTAGGGTTGGGGTTTCGGATTAGTGCTTACCGGGCCAAAACCCCGAACCCACAACCGATAATGTCACAAGCTCCTCACTCCTAGACCCTCCCTCTAGTGTCCTAGATCCTAAATACCCACTACCCTAAGGCCCCAAAGTAATTCCTTTTTGGGGTTCGTCTATAGAATCCTATAAGGTCATCCAAAAAGGAACTACTTTGGGGCCTATGGGTACCCTGTTCTAGACCCTCGATACCCACTATTCGAGACCCTAGACTGAAGCGTAATTTCCATTATACGTGGGTGGTTGTGAAAATTGTGGTCCCGTTTTTGGGTCCCTAGTATAATACGGCACCTAATATCTGGGATACCCCAAAATGGGACCATAATGTTGACAACTACCCAAGTATACTGTTAGGGCCTAGTCTCGCAAAAAGAGACTTCATTCTTAGCTGAGTTGCCTTTAATTAAGCCCTTGGATGTGTTTTTACTATTATGGTTCTCTACAAAATAGTAGAGAGGAAATTAAAAACATTGAAAATTATGTACTATTATGGTTCTCTACAAACTAGTAGGGGAAATTCAAAAAGATCCCAAAACCCAACCCAGTTAGCGAAGGCTGGCCTCGCTGAGTCCAACGACCGACATGGAGTTCTTGCGAAGGAACTGGGCGGATCCCGGCATTCGGTTTACCCATCGGCCCCAAAGTAGTTCCTGTTTGGATTACCTTGCAGGATTCTATATACGAACCCCAAAAAAGAACTACTTTGGGGCCTTAGGGTAGGGTTGAGGGCTCTAGAGCATTTTAAGGTTTAGGGTTTGAGGGCTCTAGGGTCTGGAGCGTTTGGGGTTAGAGGTTTAAGGCTTTCGGGGTCTTTTGGGGTTTAGGGGTTTGGGCCAATAGAGTCCCCTGCAACCAAGGGTTTGGTATAGTTTCTCGGAGAGCTTTCTGGAGGAATTCCGAGGAGATCTTCCTAAACCTTACGAAATCCATGGTTGGGATAACATTAAGAATGAAAACTTGTATTCCTTCTGGGGATACGGTTTAAGTACCCATGAACATGTAACGGGCTACCCAGCTATGACAAACTTACCGTACTTAAATACCTTACTTATAACCCTCCGTACTAAGTCCCATGATCCTTGAGATGAGGCCTAAGGCAACCCGAGGCCTAACCCCCCCAAGACCAGCTTGGCAAGCCAGAGGCTCCAAGACCCCTTGAACAAGGACTATGATATAACTCAAACCATGTGAGGCGGAAACCCGGTAGGCCGCCTCTTGGCTGTATAGAGAGTAGCTGTGTTGAATGCTTGTAGACGGCGTGAGTTGAACCCCTAAATCATATTGGGGCTCCTGTTACAAGTTAAGATATATTCCCCCAAAGGGTTCAAGGTACCTACATAGTAGAATGTAAGGTTTCCAGATTGGTTTAGTATGGTCCGGGGAAGTATTCCCCATAACAGTACCTAGGACCCTTTGGGTCTTTGATTAAGGAATTTTGGAGCCCTTGAGGACAATTCAAGTGGCTTAGCCAAGAAAGTCCCAAAGGATGAGACTAAGGCCCCTATAGTACTGCTACTGTGTTGAGACTAAGGCCCCTATAGTACTGCTACTGTGTTACTAATCATCCCGACCTCCGTTCGAGGTGTCCTTGGTTTAGGGTTTAGGGGTTCAGGGTTTAGGGCTGCGGGTTTGGGGCCCTCCATAGGCTTTGCTTGTGCCGAAGGAAAGCTTGTTGGTGGGGTTTAAACCCCAAGGGTCCTAGGTGCTGTTATGGGAATACTTCCCCAAATCATAGAATTAATTCCTATCATAGAAACCCTACGTTCTACTATAAAGGTACTTTGGAGCCTTTGGGAATGACTTTAGGCAAAGATCTAAACCCTGAACCCCTGAACCCAAGCACCCAAGCCCTAGACACAGAGCCGGTATAGAGGCAAGGCACCCAGTCGGGACAAAGCCCTCCACGGACAGCAGACTTGTAGAGCTCGTCCGCCTTCTTGACTTAGAAAGCAAGGTTATACGTACCTTAAATTAGTGTTGTAAGTAGCTATAAATATGGTTACTTTCATCATAACCCTGTCCATTTGGAGCTTGGGCTAAGGTGTAAATTGTAGAGTGCGCGTTTGCAGTTTAAGGCTCAGGGGTTTAGGGTTTAGAGCCTGGGCTTACGATGGGCCCTGCAATCCTTCGCAGGTCAATTCAAGGTGCATATCATAACGTTGGCAGGCCCAGGACCCTTATGCACGGCTGTTGGCTGCTTTGAGCTTTCCTAAACCCCAAATAACCGATCACATTAAGGACCTATATAAGGAACTCATAAAAAGAACCCTGAAAAAGCTAGGTTAATTATTTGGGGTAAAGGTTCGCGTTTGGGTTTTGGCGGTATCGGTGATGCGCTTTCATCACACTTGCGGTTTGTGATTGAGATACTTAGAGGTTCAAGGGTGGTTTTAGGTTAGTCCCCCAAAATGGGTTATGTTTCCAGCTAATTACCTCACTTATAATCCCGGCTATAACTACGCAGGAACCTCCAAGTAGCTCCAAACTGACTCTAAGATCTGCGATCCTAAACACACCGGAAAGTCGTGCAAGCACCCTACTGCAAAGCCCCCTGCCTTGACCCTGAAGAGCCGAATTACCCCTTCTAGGGCTCCTCATCATGATTTATGGATTCCTCATACAAGTCCCTAACAAGGTCGCTCCCATAGGGTCCAGGTATACCAGCAACAAAACAATGTACGTAGGCCTTCAAGGGCAGACTTTGGAGGAACTTGAAGGCCTAAGTGTAATACTACATGCACACATGAACCTCCTTTTAAGCCCTAAATCCATTCGGGGTCCCTATTTAAAAGACCCTATAGCATCCCGTACTTCTCCAGGGTTACATTGGGATTAAATATATAGCGGTTATAGTACCCTAAGACAATTCATTAACGCTTACCTACTCTACTTCTAAGCTCTATGTTGTACAAGAGGGTCCATACATGCTACGACTATAATGGATGGAATGAGGTCCCCCAAAATGATGGTCTCTTGGTGTTAATTCCACAATCGATTGTCATCACAAAGAAACAGCTGCCCCAAAGGCCTTTGTCTCGTCCTCTGCACGCGTGTATTGCAGCATCATGGCGTGGCAGGCAAGCACCTCTGGCTCCTCGGGGGTCTTTAGGGTTTACGGCTTAGGGCTTTTAGGGTTTAGAGTTTAGGGCTTAGGGGGTCACACGTTGATGTCTGGCCGCGTGGCGGCGACCTTTTTTTTAGGGCATGCACGGCAAGTGCTGTAAGTTACATCACTTCGTGCGTGTGGCAGTGGAAATGGAGGGAGTCGTGCTTCAGGAAATGCAGGAACCAAAACTTGGGGCACTTATTTTAGCACGCGTTCCCCATGTCATCCGTCACAACCCCCTTGGGATCCTACTGCGAGTGCCAGACCCAGCTGTTGACGTATTCAATGAGACGCACGCTGCACAAAGAGGCGAAATCGCTGTAAATAGCAGGTTTGGGGCATGCTTGCAAAATTGCATGAACACTTGTGACAGCGCCCCGTGTTGCTGAACACCAAACATCCTCCTGCACATGGTGTATAAACCGGCGAAAATGCCGCAAATACGTAACCATCCACCTCCCCCCCAACCCCCCTCACCCCCCCAACCCCTTTGCCCAGAAAGAGAAATCGCCGAAAGACAGCAGAATCCGAGGAAAAATCACACGGCCAGATGCGCGCGCGTGTGGGCTTAGGGGCTTAGGGCTTAGGGTTTATAGGTTTTACGGGCTTCCCGTTCAGGGCCAGTGGTTTAGGGTTCAGGTTTCTTGCTTGGGTGCTTGGGGTTGGGTCTGGGGGTTGGTTTTCTGGAAGCCCATTGTACTAGAATTATGATAAGGAAGCCCCAAGACAGCGACCTTGTACTTTTACTGCCCAAAGTGCCACTCAAATCCCGCATATAGGGGCCTTGAATGTGGTTTGGGGGGTATTATATTCCACTATATCTGAGTCCCTACGGAATTGTATTGTGAATTCTTCCGACCCTTAAAGTACCCGATCACGAGTCACAGGATTCTTAGGGCTTGAGGTGTTACGTTGCATGCGTCAGACATCACTCCTAATGTGTGAACCCTGGAACCTGAGCCCTGAAAGCCCTAAACCGTATAGACGTAAAGGAGCGCACACAGACATCTAGTCCCTACATGACTGTCTCAGAGTGCTGCTGGCCCTCCCCGCAGAACCCTGTTCCACTTTTTCATGTACGCCGTGATACTGCAGGCCATTCAATACGTATAACACCCTGAACAAGCCCTGCACAAGCCAGCTCTCATTTTTCAAGCCCCCTAAGTTTACTAACTGGGAAAGCCCCCACGGCACGAAAACGTGTTTGTGTCCCTATACCAAAGACCCTTGCTATAGAACCCTTCTCCCTATCTTAGGGCCGGTTCATTAAACCCAATTGAAATCCTTTAACAAACAGTCGGCGAAAACCGCTGTTGAAGCCTATTGCCCAAAAACACTTACACAACGGCGGTTTTCATTTAAAGGCCCTACACCCTCGACCAAGGTCCGCCAAAAACCTTCAAAACGCAATTCAAGGCCTGCTCCCCAGCCGGCCTCCCTCTAAAACGCCGGTAAATGCCTTATAAAGCCCTTAAACCCCTGTGGATCCCTTATAACACCTTCCTTGCAACTCTAAACTCTTATAACCCTGTCAGTTTTAGCCCTAAACCCTAAGCCCTTACTGATATACGAAGCCCGAAGATCCCTTCAACAGCCGACCTCCCCACGCTCCAGCATGGAGTTGAAGAGTTGCTCAGCTTCCGCTGCGGCTCCGGTTTCGAGGCAAGCCTGCATTTTTCGGAGGCCTCAAAAGGTGGGATGAGGCTAGGTAGGACTAAGGATCCCTTATATAAGGCCGCTTATTTTGGGCTTACCCCACCTATCTTCATCCAACCTTTTGAGGCCTCTGAATTTTTGGGGTGCTATGTGGGTAGTTGTCGAAATTAAGGTCCCATTTTGGGTACCTTAAATATTAGGTGCCCTACTATAATAAGGACCCAAAAAGGGATCATAATTTTGACAGCCACCCATGTAAGGTTTCATTAGGGGATCCCGTCACCTCCAAGAAGTTAAGGCTTCGTAGTTTAAAGTAAGGTCTTAAAGTAAAAGCCAGAAAGTTGGAATATGATTATCCTAAACTCTTTATGGCAAATTATAGGGGATCCTACCCTGAAACCATATTCCAACTTTCTGGAGTTCCCTTTAGGCCTTGGGGCTTAGGGTCAAGCGGTTCAAGGAATGCATATGGGGTCGAAGGGGCCCTTGGCGCGTCTTTGAGGGTTCCAGAAGGGGCTCAAGGGGGTGTGCCTAAACCGAACTTTGCCCTACTGCGGATGATATAAATCCTGCATTACCTTAAGGACCCTAAACTATGGGATTTATATGGTATATTCCTTATTTTATGGGTAATGCAGGATTTATATCATCAACCCTAAGGGTTGGGTACTTAGGTTTCGGATAGTAGTTATGTAGGTTACTATTTGGGAGAGGGTACTTGGACCCTTGGGGCCAAAACAGAGGCAGCTTAAAGGCAAGTGACGTGCACTCGTGGCAGCTCCACAGTCGCACCATCGCAAACATGCTAATAGGGTTGATGATAAACATCCTGCACTGTCCATAATAAGGAATATACCATATAATTCCCATAGTCTAGGGTCCTTAAGGTAATGCAGGATTTATATCATCAACAGTAGGGTTCAAGGCTTGACGTTTCGCAGGTAGGGTTTCGGGCTTAAGGCTTATGGGGATTCGGATTTGGCGTTTAATTAGGGCTGGGTTCCTGGTTTGTGGTTTAAGGCTCTTTTTCGGGTTTGGGATTTCGGGTTCAGGGTTGAGGGGTTTACGGTCTAGCGCACAAACGAAGACCGAAACTGAAAGATGGTTTATCATCGTCGCAACAAGGCAACAACCGCCGTGACTGGGATTCGGACAACGCGAAAATGACATGGTATGAGATATCATGGGAACACTGCAGCTTACCGAACCAGTGGAAGTTGCAGCTACTGTTGAGTAATTCTGGGCAGCTACAGCAACCGCTTCTTCTTTGCAGATTCGATTTCGCTTGGATGTTTGACCGGATGGTGGCAACAACATATCTACTTCCTGGCCAGCTCAAGAATCCAATCGACACCGCCATCATGCGATCCAGGCTGCAAGGATGCAGACAGCATCCTTTCACATGCACCAGTTCTGTTGATCTCACGCCCGTCAGCGTTTCCCGTCACGCACTTGCTCAGAACCTTGCAGTACATAGGTGAAAACCAAGCTGTAGTTCGTGAAGTGCAGATGTGAAGGCGCATGGCCTGTTTTCGTGTGAGACCGTGATGTTCACTTTGCCAGACTTCCTTCGGTCAACCAGAGCAGGGCGAACTGCAAGATGAGTTTATTTGAAGGACACAGTGCGGATGCATACCTTGTGAGGTAAAAACACAGCGCTCGTTGATTTCATCTCGACATTGGTTTGGTTTGGGGAAAAAGATGCTATCTCAACATTCGAGACGACCATCCCGATCGCCAAACACAAATAAATCATCCTAAACCCTAAACCTGAGAGCAAGCGCCAAGCCTGCACCATTGTGCTCTGGCTCCTCACGCCCCACTGATCGCGATCGATGGTGTTCAAGAGCCTTCCGAATCCGAATGTGTTTAAGGCTACGGGTTTGGGGTTTCAGGTTTAAGATTGAGAGCTCAGTTTGTATTGAGGTCCGGTTCCTTTCAAGCTTTCGTTTGGACTTCTGGGGTGCGAAGATTAAGGGGGGGTTAGGGAGTAGTGCAATCTCCTGAGAAATCGACCCAGTTCTCCAGGCTCTTGCTCTTAGCATTAGTAGGCCTGGCATATTATGAATCCAAGAATGACCACCTCCTGTAACAGCATGTCATTGTCCCCACGGCAAAGCACACCCAGACAATAGTTCTGATCCCTCAACCCTCAACCCTGAACGCCATGCGCACTCAAGCCCGGAAGCTGCATGAAATCTGGAATCGACCCCCTGAACCCCTAAAACCTCATAAATCCGGCACACTTATGCACTGAAAGGCAAAACAAAAACATCTCTAAACTCCGAGCCTCATAAATCCAACGTTGGACCAAAGCTCGGCACAAATCCCTTTACCTTCTTCGATCTTTGAAAAGGCCCTAGGGCTCAAGGCCTGCACTTTGAGCTAGCACCTCACTTCGAGTTATGGCTTTAGAAGACCCCAAGCACTCCCAGGATAGACGATCCCAAAACCTGGAGCTAGAACTCTACTGAAATCTAAACCCGGGATCTATTCACACGGCTGCCCAATGCTTCGATTTGGCTTGCCACCCGAGCCTCTGCCAGTTGCAGTAAGCTCATTTGAGTGACTTTCTTTGTTGGCTTTCTCCTCCACATGGTGTTTTTGCAGACATCTGCCAGGTACTCTGCCTTATCAAGATGTCCTGACGCGAGGGCCACCGCTTGCCAGTCGATGTGCAGGCTGTTTTTTTACCCAGGTTCTTGACAGCATCCGCCTTCATCTCGTCGGACAAGATGGGAGTTTCCGAAATAGGGGACCCTGATATAGTACCCTATGTAGTACCCAAAGGGTCCTAGGTACTGTTATGGGGAATACTTCCCCAAATCATAGTATTAATTCTTATCATAGAAACCACATACATTCTACTATAAAGGTACTTTGGAGCCTTTGGGGCAGGATCCTTATTATAAGGACCCCCAAATAAGGTACCCCGAATTCTCGGAAGCGCCCAGCCGGCAAGCCTGGGTTGAAGCTCCAAAGGTCCAAGGGTTTCAGGATTAGGGTCCAGGGTTTAGGGTTTTAGGGTGGATTTCGGGTTTAGGGTTTGAGGGTTTTAGGGTTTGGGGTTTTAGGGTTTAGGGTTTTTAGGGTTCAGGGTTTAGGGTTTTAGGGTTTAGGGTTTACGGGGGAAGGGTTTACAGGGGGTTCCAGATCCGTTGCTGGTGCGAAATTTTTAAAAGGCTTGCCTGACGACCCCGGACATGCAGGACAACTTAGCTTCTGGTTTCTGAGGTTCTATCATTTTCATGGGTGAGCTACGTAGAATTCCATGCAAATACAGACTAAGACCAGGAGCCTTAAATGAAGCAACCTGCACCGTACACCCTGACCCCGAAACACCAAAGCCTGAACCGCCCGAACACGCATTGGCTCTAGTACCCACTGACTAGGTCGATCCTGCACGAAAACGTGAACCCTTGAAGGAACCCTCTCGCTTCACGATTATAGAAACATTTTATGGTTAAACCCTAAACCCCTAAACCGGGGTGTATACGGCAGAAACTCCAAACCCTAAACCCCTGAACCTTAAACCAAAAACCGGGTCCGGCTGGTAATCGGGCTGAGTAGCTGAAGAGCAAAAGACCATTGCCCAGAAAGCGCCCAGGCGCGGGCACAGGCTCGAAAGGCCTGACTCACACAGAATTTAGGTTTGAGGGTTGGGGTTTAAGCTTTGGGTTTAGAGGTTCGGGCCTAGCGTGGGTTTCTATGCAGACTTTAGAAGGGATGTATAGGAGATGGTAGATGGCTGTATGTGGGGGTGTTAAGGCTAAGGGTTTACAGGACCGAGGAATTGGGCACCAGGACGCCCAGGCTCTAACCCAAAATCGTCAAAAGCGAGTCACCTAATCTTGGGCTGAGGGGCTGAGAGCCTATAGGGGTCTACGAGCTTCTAGAGTTTCGGGCTTTTAGGGTGTATAGGGCTTAGTGCCAATAATCGAGTGGTTGTCAAAATTGTGGTCCCTTTTTGGGTCCATATTATAATACGGCACCTAATATTTAGGGTACCCAGATAGGGACGCTAATTTGGACAACCACCCTTTCGAACGGCTCTATGCTACAATCAAGGGTCCATGTGCCAGCATTTCGTTCGGCTTGGGGCTAGAGGTTCAACCCCTAACCATATTGTATATACTAGAGCCTTACATAGGAACCCCGTTAAAGGTATGTTGTTAGGTCGGTCTTCAGCAGGCACAGCCTATAAAACGCAGGATTAATTAAATTGTGAACCAAAAGCAAAACAGAAGCGCCAGAAATGCGAGTTGAAGAAGCGCCCTGGAAAAGCAAATGCCAAATAGAAGGAAAAACCCACATGAACACATTGTGAAAATTGAAACCAAAGCAGCGCCAGGTCTGTATTCATTCTGTGTTCTCTTTTGGCTTCACTTGTTCACTTTTGTTCCTACATGTTTCGTGTTCCGGACGCAGCCACCATCAAAGCCTGCGATGTTTTTTTTGCATGTGTTTCGAAATGTTTGCACATTTCCAATTTCCGTCGCATTGTGCGAACCACTTTTCTAGCGTTTTTTGTCACAAACATAAGTGGTTTGGGAAATCCTAGCCTGTCCCTGAATGCCCGGCTTGGGCATATTGTATACTATTTGGGCCTGGCGGTGGACGGCCATGCGATTTATGCTGACGATGCTGATAACGAAGATAATGGGTGATAACCATGATGATAACGACGATCATGATGTACACGTGGGGCTGTCTTACGCTACTACTACCCTAAACCTAGTTATTTGTCCTTGGGTCCTTTGAACCCTCAACCACCCCAAGCCCAAAACCCGAAACCTCTAAACCCTAAACACCTCCCACACTACAGAAGCCTTCTACGATCTCCGGGACAGCCATGCTAAAGCTAAAGCACCCATAGAAACCGAGCGTTTGTCGTAATTCGACAATTTTGGCTCCCGAGCTCCCACAGATGCTTTAGGATTAGGTTGCCCAAAGGGTCCTAGGTACTGTTATGGGAAATACTTCCCCAAATCATAGTATTAACTCCTATCATAGAAACCCTACATTCTACTATGAAGGTACTTTGGAGCCTTTGGGTTGGGGGCTTAGACGTTTCGACGTTTGAGGTTTAGGGTTTGGTGTATGGCTTGGGGCTTTGAGGGCTTGGGAGTTTGGACGTTTGGGTTTAATTAGGATATGGGGTTAGGATTTCGAGTCTTATGCCAGCGTGTCCGAAACACCATGAATGCACAACTAATTATCGACTTTCACCCAAGACCAGTTCAACGAAACAACCCAATAAGACGGGTTCCCCAAGAAACCCTTTGAGAGAAAAACCTACTTCTTTACGGCTTGTTGATGCTCACAAAGGAGCGCCAAAACTACAGCCGGAACACAATATTACTGCTCAAAATGCAGAAATCCCGCCGCACGGCCCCAAGGGCTGCGCGCAAGCAACCCCAAACCTACACCTCATGCTATGCCAGAGCTTCCATCCCAAAACTAGGCCTCTGTAACTCGAACCCTTAGCACGAACACCATGAGGCTTAAACATAACCCTAAGGGTCCAAAGGACCCTATAATTACGTACTGGGTTTTAGGATAGTAGTTATGTAGGTTAGGATTTTGGAGAGTATCTGATTTTTAGGTACTTGGACCCTTGGGGTAAGCTCAGAGGGAACTGACCTCGTACTGCTGCTCTGCTGGCACTTGCGACTCCATCAGTTGGCCAAGTGCCTTTCGCTCCGTTTTCGTGCGTTGGGGCTCTCAGGGTGTTACAGGGGTTTAATAAGACGCGTTTGACGGAAAGATTGCTTTAATGAAGATAGCCCGAAATCATGGAAATTGCAGGACAGCGCTCCACTACATAGGTAGCTTAGTTCAGAGCTTAAGGTTGACAAGGTTCCAGCAGTAAGACTTAATGCCTTCGGGGCCAGGGGACGTGCACTTTCTCGGCTTAAGGCACAGATGGTAGAATAACGCATTCTGCAATAGCTACCTCAACCCTAAACCCTAAACCAGCAACAGTGTTGCCAGCAACCGCAGCAACGATAACAGCAGAAGCAACCGCAGCAACAACATCTGCAACCAAAGCAACAGCATGAACTAATCGATAGTGCCAGCATCAGCAACTACAAACAGGCTCCCAACATGTACAAGTGCGCAACTAAGCGGAATGACAACCCAAACCAACGGCTCAAACACCCACAAGCCTCTCAGAATGACACTCGCATTCTTAGACAGTTAGATTATAAGCAAATCAGAACCATTCCTGAAGAGCACCCCCAGACCAGCGGAGGGCCTTCCTAGCAACTGATAACCCTCATGATCCTAGTGTAGAGGGCCGGTATAATTAGAATAGGGTTGTCGTGGTAAGGAACCCCAAAATTGTGTTGTTGATTATGTCATGCAGCGACATATACTAAACCCCGAGACCCTAAAACAACCTTCTCTGAATGGGCTTGCCATGCCTGTTGAACACCCCCAGCACCCCCTCCACCCCCGCACAAACATACACCTCAACTCCGACCCTCAACCGATAAACCCCAACCCCTCTACCCTGAACCTCAACCCGTAACAAGTTACCCTAAAACCCTAAACCCTAACAGCCCTGAAAGCCCTAAAAGCCCCGAGCCCGAGAAACCGTAGTCCCTAAAGCATCAAACCCTGCGCCCTAAAAGACTAAACACTAATCCCTAATCCCTGAAGCTTAACCCCTAATCCCTTGATCTCTAATCCCTAAAGCACCAAACCCTGCACCCTAAAAGCCCTAAACAGGCCTGGTAGGACTCGGTGCAGAGCCGCCGCAGCCAGCTGTTCTGACCCACGGCCCTGCAGCACTTCACCGCCGTTTCCTGAAAGGTGGGCTTAGGGTTGAGGGCTTCGGAAGCATCGTATGACCACCTTGTTAAGCTCTGTAAACACGCGATTACAAAGCCTCGGAACCCGACAAAAACCCTGTAGAACAGTGTGAACACCGTGTGCTAATTGATCGAAATTCCTTCACGTGAAGGCCCCTTGTCATTAAGAATTACCGAAACTGCATTACGATACACAAAGCGGACAAAGGATCTCCTCGCCTAGGGATCTCCTAGCCTAGGACGATGTCGTCAGGTCTTACACGGGATCTAAGGATCAAACATGCGGCGGCCTAGTTTAGGCTTTAGGGCTTTGCGGTTTTAGGGTGTAAGGTTCAAGGTTCTATAGGGTTTAGGGTTCAGGGGCTTACGGTATCAAGTCTCTGTTACTTGAACCGTGAATACAAGTGCTTCCAATGCGACGATACCTCTTCCTACACGCCTGACTAAGAATAACTTCTGTTGGGCAAGCTACCTCCTGGTTGGGATCCCATAGTACAGAGATCTGTACTGTAGCCAAGGTTCATGCCTATTAAATGAAATCCGACATAAAAGAATGGGAATGGAGCTGGGCAGTACCCTAAACCCTAAACCCTAAACCCTGAACCCTAAACCCTAAACCCTAAGACTTCACTGGGATGTTCTTGGAACGGAAGCGTAATTAAACGCAAAAAAATCTCAGACACAACACCCCAGGCCCCGGCCCGGCCCAAGACACAATCTCAAGCGTTTGCATCTATGCATGCGCGCGCGAAAGCCCGACGCCCAAAACCCAGGACCCGAAGTCCTAATACAGGGAACTTAACAACTAGAATAGGGTTTCGGAGCCGGTGCATGCTACTGCAATAACAATAAGGAACCTAAGTAATAGAATTAACGCATTCTGCTGTAATTACAATAAGGAACCTAAGGAATAAGATAACTTGCTTGATGTATTTAGCGTCGCAATGTATATTTAGGCTTCTACAATACTATATACTACATCTGAAATCCCCAGCTTGGGGCTTAAGATTTTGTGTTCGGGACTCCAGTGTTTGAGGTTTAAAGCCAGCGTCCAGGATTAGGGTTTAGGGTAGGGTTTAGGGTTTTGAAATCTAGAATTTAGGGTTCTTGGGTTTAGGGTTTAGAATGGTTTAGTGTAGGGTTTAGGATTAATGTAACGCATTGATTGCCAAGCGACACATGCCAACGGATCGGCAGGGAGTTGTTGCTCTCTTGCGGCGCTCAAAAGCTGCAAAGCTTTCTGCGGCTCTCCTCCTCGCTATTTCAACTCGCTGCTTTAGCGTCTAGAGATTCAGCTGTCAACTCTGCTGCTTAGGATTCAGGGTTTAGTTCGGATAATAGGGTTTTCGGGGTGTAGGGCTTACATGGCTTGGGCAATTATTGTTTAGGGCTTGTGGTGCTGCATGCAGGACACGAGGGATAACTTCAGCACGCCGCATTTCGAGCATAGGGAACATGTAATGCTTCGTTCAGAACTAACACTGAACTATAGTAAGAAGCCGTGTATGTTCTCAAAAGGTATGCGTGAACCAAGGGGTAAGGTTGCTCCCCTCAACCCCTAACAATAATCCCCAACCTCAACCCTCTACCTTAAACCCAAAACCTACCGGCCCTAAACCCCAAACCAACCAACCAACCAAACAGCCAACCAACGATCATCGTCTGGCTTACAGTTTTCAGACCGCTTGCCGTGCTGTTTTGCCGTCCTTCCTTCTTATAGCCCGCTATACATGCTGCGGCTTACAGTGGCGGGTTTACGGTATACCCCAGAAATAAACCTTAGGCCAGCACCACTAAGCCCGATAAATACCACGAGCCGCTTGAGCCCCATAACTATGCAAACACTCTCCTATACAAGGCGTCGATGTCAACAGTCCTCAAAACTATGTGTATAGTCGGGGCTCTATATTATAGAGCCCCGACTATACACATAGTTTTGAGGACTGTTATATTAAACAACTTCAAGGATAACAAGGCATTCAACAATATCCCAAACCGGTACCTTGTATACACCATCAACCCTTAACCTGGAATCCATCAACCCTCCACCCTAGAAGCCCTGAGCCCTGCGCCGCTGCCCCAAAAACTCATAAACCCGTACCCCCTGTAGCACTGCCCAAAGGGTCCTAGGTACTGTTATGGGGGATACTTCCCCAAATCATAGTATTAATTCCTATTATGGAAACCCTACATTCTACCATAAAGGTACTTTGGAGCCCTGGCGCTGTACATCACTTTGTAATGCAGACTACCTTCAACTACCGCAACATGTTGTTGTAGGTTCTTGTTTCTAACAATGTAGAATTTCCCGGGACCCTGCATATAAAGGGTAGGTTTTCGCAGCTCCAGGTACTATACTGTTCCCTGACCCGCGTCTTTGCAGCCATCATTTCAAAAATGCACCTTTAACTTTTCAATTATGGTGCGAATTATACAAACACTGAAGGGTCAAAGGTTACCTATTCAGCTACTAACCCCAAGGGTCCGAGTACCTAATAATCATATACTCTCCAAAATCCTAACCTACATAACTACCATCCTAAAACCGAGTACCTAATTATAGGGTCCTTTGGACCCTTAGAGTAAGTATAGGAATCTCTTTGAGGCCTGAGTGTAGACGAGATGGGCACAGCAAGAGTTAGGGTTCCGGCGACAAGCAATATAGTGTGGCATAGTATATCTTGGGTACGGCTTCCCATACAGTAAGAGTCTACAATAGGGCTACTATTAAGGTCCTAATATATCTATATTATGAATATTATTCAAGTATTACTGAGTGGGGGCCGTACCTAAAGTATATCACAGTGTATTCCCGAAGAGTCCTGGGTATTGTTTTTGGGAATACATCCCCCAACTCATAATAGCCATTCCTAATATGGAAACCCTCCATTCTACAATATACGTACTTAGGACCCTTTGGGATTACAGTGGCCAGCATTGTATTTCTGCTGGGATTGCATCCGCCAAGACATTCCTGCAGCAATGGAGCGAGACTACAAGAAAACTCACTGGCATGTAAAGGCCAGAAACCTACCTAGTAAGCCCCGAAAGACCATCCTTATCATGGCTTGGGGGGACCTAGCTCCAGACAAGTTGTGTGTGTATATATATATATATACACATATGTATATATATATATATATACACATGTATATATACATATTTATTTATCTGTTTATTTATATGTATATGGACTCTCTTGGTAATAGAATATTATTCCCCATAATACCATACCGTAGTACAGTGTTGAACCATATACATACCATATCGTCACGGTATACCCCAAACCCTCGAACCTTGCTATATTACGGGCCCTCTTGCTTATAATAGTATATGTGTATCTATATATACGCATGTAATTAATAAAGCCACATACATATTTATATATATATATATATATATGTATACACACACTTATTTATGATTATTATCTACAGTTTGCCTTAAAAAAATAGAGTAGCATATCATCACAGGAGACCCCAAAGACCTGAACCCTCACATTGTTCCCAAGCGCCCGTCCTTGCAGAAATCCTTCCATGGCTGCTCTGAGGCCGACGAGGCTCCTTGTGCCGTAGCGAGAGGCCTCAGGTTGCAGGCCAAAGTACTGATAACTGCTACACTATTGTGGGGAATAATGTGCTATTACCCAGAGGGTCCATATATATATATATATATATGTTTTGAAAGTTACTATACGATGGTAGTGTAGGAACCTGATTAAGAAAGCTTGGGCCTTTATTAGGGTTTCTTCTTAATGTTCCTTATATGGATCCAAATATATTGGGGGTTATAGGCCCAGGGTGTCTTAATCAGGTTCCTACACTATACTGTGGTATACTATCACGGGGAATAATCTGCTATTACCCAGAGGGTCCATGTACACTACTATTCTGTCCGTTTGGGGTTTTAGGGTCTTTTCTTGACGGACATGCTTGGGCTTGATCAGCGCGCTCAAGGGTTTTAGGGTTAGGGTTTTAGGGTTTTAGGAGTTAGGGTTTTAGAGTTTGAGTGTTCAGAGTCTTGGGGTTTAGGGTCTTAGGAATTGTGCAGCGCTCAGCATTGGTTGAGGGCTTAGTGTGTCGCTGTTCATTTTTCGAAAGGGGGGGTCGGCTACTTTATATGTGTGTGAATATACGTATAGTATATATATATATATATACACACACGCATATCCAAAGACGCCATTGAAACTATGAAAATTTCTCTTTGCAACCCTGATAATTACTTCCTTTCAAAGAAAGACCATGTAAACAAAGAGAAACAGCTTCTCGCGGTCTCGGTTAGGGTTTAGGTTTTGAGGCTTAGGGCTTGTTCAGGGTTTAGGGTTCTGTTCTAAAGTCACAGACGCCTAAAACAAGGTCAAGAGACCTCTTGGCAACGCCCTGCCGCAGCATACGGGGCGGCCATCGCATCATCGGCCACATCCTCTCGAACAATGCTTTCGTTAAAGGTTGTAGAGGTCGGTGTTTAAGGTTTGCCCTAAAGCCCAAAGTAGTTCCTTTTTGGGGTTCGTATATAGAATCCGATAAGGTAATCCCAAAAAGGAACTACTTTGGGGTACCTTAACCCCCACATGACGTACCAATCAGGGACTTATATAAGGAAATTGTACTTGGGAACCTTACAACGGAAGAAGGCTTTAAAGGGTCCAGGGTAGGGTTTTTCGGGTTTGACCCTAACGATCTAGAAGGCCCCTCGATCATGCTCACCAACTGCTGCTAGTTTCGTAATCTACAACACCCTAAACGTCGGGATTTAAGGACTATGCCTGCTGTCCTCAGTGCGAAGCCATACACAATCAGCTGAAGTGGCGGGGGGGGGGGGGGGGTCTCCGAAGTCTCGCCCCGCAGACCAAACCAAAACGCAGTTCAATGTGGGGGGGGGGGGGGGGGACTCTTCATGTTAAACCTATAGTGCCTAAGGGTCCCTAATAGTAGCATCCCGCCCTTCAACCACTCTAGGGTTGAGGATTTAGGATACCTACTGTAAGATTTTGTGGTTGCTTGCCGGTCGTTCCGCCAGATTCAAACTCAGCGCGCCCGGATTCCAGATTTAGGACTTCGGGGACTTCGGGCTAGGGTTGGGAGCAGCAGCAAAACGAATATCCGAATAAACCTGCTTGCTGCGTTTTCAGTTTCCTCTAGGTCCTGAATCCTAATGAGCCCGGACAATGCACAGCCCCCAAAATTACAAACATGAAAATATGAACCCGTGAACACGACAGCTACCCGTTACCCACACAACCTGTTGGAACAAACCAAACCCGACCACCCGAATCGATGCCTACACCTGCAACCCGAAACCATAAGGCAGAAAACTGCAGCGTTGGTATCTCAATCTGTGAGTCCTGCATGTGACAGAGTGGAACACTTTCTATCTCCCAGGGTTCCACACATACTTGGAATAGGGTTTTGGGGGTTCCTCATTAGCATTAATTATAGTATACCCTAAACCCTATAATATACCCTTGAACATATTCTAACTATCAAGGCCCCCGTGGGATATCGGCAACACTCCTCAGGAAGGCTTCTCCGCACTTCGGCAAAGAAGGCCTCTTTTGGATAAAGTCATGAAGAGTCTGGTTTTGGGGTTTTCAATTTCAGGGTTTACCTAGACCCCCCCGCCCCCCCCAACTACCTTCTACTATACCCCAAATACCCACTCTGAAAAACCATAAGAGCTCCTTTAAAGGGCACTTGGGGGGGAGGGGTCATGGTAGGGTTCGTGGTTTGGGATCTAGCGCGAGGTTTGGGGTACTTGGAGGTTCAGGGGTAGTTATAAGTGGGGTTATCAGTCCCCGAATTAGGGTTATAAGTATAGGTACCCTAGCTATAACCCTACTTAACTTATAACTACCCATGTACCTCCAAGTCGCGTTTGGGCATTTTCGGGGGTTCGACTCTAAAACCAAGGGCTAATGAACTGCCGCTAATGTAGGGGCCTTAGTGATGAGACTAGGGTTTTGGGGGTTCTTTAAAGGGTTCCTTGAAAAGGGGATCTATAAGGGATACTATAAGGCTATAGTATAGAGGCCTTGATGATTAAAATTGCGTTTGGGGGTATACTGTACTAGAACTGTAATGAAGAACCACCACAATAGTATGGGTAATCATCTGGGCCCTTATAGTAGGGCTTCTGCTCTGGGGTTTCGGCCCGGGTTTGGGGTTTATGGTTTGGGGGCTAATGATCTCCAGGCAGCATTGCGGTTGGGAGTCAGGCTTCAAGGGTCTGGATCTAGTCTTTTATACAGTTCAATCAGTGAATGTACCTCTTGAGACCTGAAGCCACACACACTAGAGAGGAATTCCCTTTTCGAAGACCCCCTCTTGCAATGGTGGGTCTCATTCAGGTGGGTGATGGCCAGGCCGGCCGATCAGACAGGCATTCTCCATGGGCTCGCATAGATATTGATTGGTAGGTGGTTAGGGTGTCGGCCAAGTGGTGAAAGCAGGACGGACTGCCAGAACCTCCCGAAGATCTCCGCCTCGTCGCCCTCCTCGAAAGGGCTCATTTCCAAGAACATCCTGACAGTACAACTTGGCAATGGCAGGCTGGACGAAGGGAGTGCGCTGCTGCGTGTGCCTGAGCGTGGTGCCGACTCTGTGGCCGCACCAGATGCCAGCACAATCTCTGCGAAGATCGGAGTGCATAGACAGACAGTAGACCCCATAAAGTTGGAAACCGGATAAAGTCCAATTGGTGCTGGGATTCCACGTATATATATATATATATATATGTATGTATATGTATATTATACTCTTGAGGATTGAGGTATTGGATTTCCAACTTTGCGGCCTCTACTGTATGGCATTGGCCAAGGAGGTCCGGAAGTTAAGGTGGGAAGGTGACGAGATGGTACAGAAAACAAGTCCGTGCGAAGAAGGCTTTGCTCCTAAACCCTAAACCTATACTGAACTTAGAACCCTAGCAACAATTGTAATTTCAGCTGTTTCTTCGGGATTATAATAACCAAAAATTGAAGAACATTTCTATAAGTACCCCTAAGAAACCCTAATTTGCTCTTCGAGTCTGGCCTTCGCTTCGTGTTCCCGCCTAACCCACCACATCCTAAACTATACATCTGAATCAAACTAGGGGTTTTTATGGTTTATATAGGGGCTTAGAATGTAATTAAGGGTTAAGGGTATAGGGTTTAGGAGTCCTGCACAAGCCCTTCGGACAGGGAGGCTACAGAACGAAGACAGGTCTGAATAGATTAGTGAGAGAATACCGATATCTTGCCAGTCCCTATCTTCAATACCAGCATATGCTCCGAAACCAGATTTAAGTGATTGCGGCCTCTCGTCTAGTAAACCCCCATCAAACCCTCTTTAAAGCATATGAAACCCTTTTAAACTCTATAAGCCCTAAACTCAATCCCTTACTAAACCCCCGGTCTTTAAAATGCCCTCGGGCCACAGCCTTAAAAGCCTTAAACCCTAAACCCTAGGCCCTAGACCCTAAAGCCCACACCCGAAGCCCTACTAAGAGGTTCATGGGTAGTGATAAGTAGGGTTTTCATTCCCCTAATAAGGGTTATCAGTAAAGCTACCTTACTTATAACCCCAATTATAGCTACCAGTGAACCTCCAACCAGGCCCTACACCCTATAACCTTATAGAACCCCTGTAGATCCCTGTAAAGGGACCCTTAAAGGAACTTCGGGATCCTTATAACTACCCGGCATGACCTCCGAGTAGACCCTACTTGTAGCCTACACCCCAAACCCCCCGTACCTCGGCTCGTTCCAACCGGCCGGTTTTCGCCAGGAGGATCAGAGCTCGGCGGAGCTCCGAGATGTTCTGAGGGAATTGAAGACGGAAGGCACGTGTGCATTAAGGCAAGAGCGGGCGGAATGTAAGGGTTCTGAAACATTTGTCTAAATCTATGAGAAGCTTAGGAGAACCTTGATCCTTTTTTCAGCTCGTGACAGTCTCTTTGCCCAACTAGCATCCGGTAAAAGCACCAGACACTACCATCCTGCCTTCGATGTTGTCGAGCGAAAATAGTGAAGAAAAGGATCCGCCGTCACGATCGGGAAGAAAGATTGGTTCGAGTTCCAACCCTCTGTCCATCATGAGGACAAACCTCTGGTATTCTGCTATACAGAGGCCCAGAGCCGCCGAGCATTGTTGGACTCTACACATAAGGTCACTTGTGTAATTCCGAGCAGCTGCCAATTCTTGACCTTGAGTGTCGCCACCACCACGGTGTCTCATATTCGAGGTCCCAAATGGACCCATCGGTACAGGACCCGCTGGACTGTTGACGCCCCCAAGGCCCGTTCTTCGGAGCATTACCATTCCGAAGATACGAAAATGAAATTGTTTGCTTGAAATGACCTTGAACCCTAAACCCTATACCCTAAACCCTAAACCCCCAAAGGGGGTTAGGGGTCACGCTTTAGGATGCTTAGCGCCTGAAGAGTTCGCTTGGAAGGTTTCATGACCATGAGGCTTTCACACGGACTTATTCGAGGCTTTAAAGGGTGCTTTCAGGTTTTATGCGCGCTTGACGACAAACTCTATACACGGGGCTTTTATTAGAACCCTGCAAGGACATCAGGGCTCTGTAAGGGTTTCGGGGCATGACTTTTTACTGTACGGTTTGAATTCGGAGGGTTGTGTGGGCTAGGTTCCCCAGTGTCCCCTTAATTATGAGGGCACGCTTTTCCCTGGTACTCAGTTTTAGTCAGGGGAGCCCCAAAATAGAAAGGGCAAAAGGGTACTACTTAGGAGCCCAGTGGGGGTTTTAGGATTTATTCGAGTTTACGGCTTCAGGGTTCAGGTTTGTGGTTCTCGCAGCAGCGTTCGTGCATGCCGAACTAAAATATGAGTCCTGCTTTTGGCTCAACCAAGAAGTCTGCGAAAAAAAGACAACAAATCAACCTCATGACCCACAAACCCCTCAAACTTGAGAACCCTAAAAATGCTGCGAACACTGTACATTACCAAATAAATCCTATAGATAACAAACCCTTAAATTAAGCCATCAACTTGAATCGCTACATCCTAAATCCCAGAACCCCTAGTTGACTTGCTTCTCACACCACTAGGAGAGGTTCAAGCCAGGAAACCCTTGTAAAGCTTTCATGCAAAGCTACTCTCTCGTAGTATACGGTATCAAACTAGGGCCTACGGGTTCCACCTCTTGCTGGGCGTACTGGGCTGAGGCTGGTGCATATTGGGTACATAACCCCCCTGAATGTCGATATGACCAAATCAAGGCATCTTAAACATGAAGAGTCGAAACCAACACACAGGCTTCTTTCAAACCTAATCATCAAGGAGAAGAATTGCGAAACTCTACCAAAAAACAACAAACGAACACAACACGAAACCACCGACCACAACAAACACAAGCACAAAAACCGACAATTGCAAACCCACCGAAGTCTTCATAGAAGCCTTGCGGTAAGGGAACCTGAAACCCTAAACCTAGACATCTCAATTTCTTTTAAGACAGGCTGTCGAGCCAAAAATATCAGTTGTTGTGAGGAAAGAGAAGCTCTCCCTAAAAGCGCCAATACCCCTCACCCCCAAAAGATCGGAACACTAACCAAGAACCCTAAACCCAAAACCCCTAAACCCAAACGCCTAAACCCCCACGCCTTATAAACCCGAAACCCCTAAACTCCTACCCCTTATAAACCCTAAACCCCTTAACCCAAACGCCTAAACCCCCCACGCCTTATAAACCCGAAACCCCTAAACTCCTACCCCTTATAAACCCTAAACCCCTTAACCCAAACGCCTAAACCCCCTAGGCCTTATAACCCCTAAACCCCTAAACCCTGACCCCTACACCCTCAACCCCTAGGGCTTATAAACCCTAAACCGCTAAACCCCTAAAGCCCTAAACCCCTAAAGCCCTAAACCCTAAACCCCTAAACCCCTAAACCCTGAACCCTAAACTTCTAAACCCCTAAACCCCTAAAACCCTAATCCGCACCTCGAGGTTGCCCGCCACTGTCGACAGCATCTCCTCGAATTGCTGGGAGATCTGCTCCTCGGCGACCTCCGGCGGTTCATAAGTCGGGTTAAAAGTCCCCTAATAAGGGCTATAAGTATAGCTAGCTTACCTATAACACCACTTCTAACTAGTGATAAGTGGGGTTATAAGTCCCCTAATAAGAGCTAAAAGTATGATATTAGTTAGCTCACTTGTAACCCCTCGTATAACTACCCATGAAGCTCCAAGTAGGGTTCCGGGACCTTCGGGACTTAGGCCTAGGCGTAGAGTTTCGAAAGGGTCCGATGCGGATTGGTTTAAGGGTCTATAAGGCTTTACTCAACAAGCCTTAGCCTAAGGTTTCATGTACCCGCATAATAGACCCTTCTGGCCTGAACTCTACTCCCCTTGGAAGGTAAGCAAAAAACTACTTTTTCGGAGACCCCTATAAAAGAAGACCTGAACCAAAAAAGGAACAAAGTGACAAAGTCTCCAAGAGCCTTAAAGTGAAATGCACCTATATACGAACCAGCTACGAACCCTTTTAGGCCGAAAGGCTCGGACGAGATCCTTCTTCCGCGCCGGCTGCGATGAGATCGCGCTCTGGATCCTGCCGCGGCGGTGATGTTTAGTATACATAGGGTTCCTGAACCCTAAACCCTGTTCCCGAACCCAAGCCGCCTAGGGTTTAGGGTTCTATCCCTCAGCTCGAACCTGGAGGCAACTTAGTAAGTAGGTTATAAGTAGAGTTATAATTTGTAAGTACCCTTAATGGAGTTACCCCAATTATAACCCTACTTGTCCCTACTTATAACCTACTTACTAAGTCCCCTGCCCTTCCAAGTAGGGTTTCAGCTCCTGGCGCTCCTAAACCTTAACCCAGGGTCTAGGGCAGCCGGCTCCCTGAGCCAAACTAGACTTCAGGGTTTACGCTTTGTAGGCTTTGGGGGTTCTTAGCCAAAAAAGATAGTTTAGGGTTTAGGGTTCAGGAGTTTAGGGTTTAAAGCAGAGGAACCCCGTTTTTTGCAGAACATTTCAAGAATCAGTCTTGACAAACGGAAGGCTTTACGGCTTTGGGGGTCCGTGCTGTTCTTGATTTGACATCTTGAGAAGTGCTTTTATATGCCCCATGTGAGGCCGTAAATAAAGAACCTCAGAAGGTGAGATTAAAAGGGCCCCTCATAGAAGGGGTCCTGTTTCGGACCACCTACCTGCAGCCCACCGTTTAAGCCTAAGCCTTGGTGTTCGAGACAACTCCCCCCTGCGTTAAACAGGCATTTCGGTGTCGATCAGGCACTTACATTTGCGCATGTAGGGACGGTTCCCCCAAAAATTACGTTCGCATCGTATGCTAACCCCACAAGCTAGTGATCAAGCCTGCCTGCCCCCTGAACGAAGCTCTAGATACTCCGGTGTAGGTCATTCCAGCTAGTAATAATTGAGTATGGGGAACATTTAGGGATGTAGCGACTGGACATGGAGGGCATCCCAGCCTGGTGCAACGACGCCGGGATACAGCGGCAGCCATGGCTTCGTACCTTTCTGGAGCCGGAGTGAAGGGCAGTTGTCGCATTGGCATTGGTGGTGGTAGTAATCGTAGCTATAGCAGTCCTAGTACATGTCCTCGCCCTCGTCGTCGTCGTCGTCGTCGCCCTTCTGCTCCCGCTCCCTGTCCTGCTCTCTCACTGTGGGTCGTCCTCGTCTTTGTCTTCGTCTTCCTCGTCGTCGACTCCCCTCGTCCTTGCTCTGGTCGACGTCAATACTCCTACCCGCAGTTGCATGTATGTGCGCATACACACTTCGCCCTCCCTTTCTCTCTCTGATCAAAATTCGTCGTGGCAGCAAGCATACCCAGCCACCCACCCACCCCACCCAGCCAACCAGCCAGCCACCCACCCACTCACGCACACACAACAACGAAGCACAACAAATGAAATAGCAAAACATGCTCCAGGATGCTGGGGAACTAAAGGTTCACCTTTGGGATTGGCAGCATACTATATTGGAATTACACAGGGATTATGGTTCCCAAAGAAAGGTTCAAGCTTACATCGTAAGCTGAGTGACATTGAGACATCAGGAGTCACCTGGGATTCCCGGATGTCTTGCCTCGGCGGAATGTCGTGTGCGATGAGGAGTTTGCGGGTGGTAGGGTTTTGGGTTCTTCGAGGTTCAAAGATTGTTGGTTCGGGTCTTGGTGTTCTTGAAGGCTGGGGAATCGCAGGGTCTAAATGCTCAGAAGCTGTTCAGGTCTCTGTGGTCTGGTCTAACCTCAAACAACTCACAGCTTCGCGGGTTTTGGATTTAGGGTCTAGGGTGGCGCCTGAGCTTCCGATTAATGGCGAGGCGGCAACTTGCAGAAACCAGTCCCACAAACCGTAGGCCTCGTCTACATGATCATATTGCAAGGTAAATCGCCAGGTAGCTACATTAGAAGCCCCGCAAAATGAAACTATACACATTTAGTGGGATGGTGCCTAACCCGATGCATACCCCTAAACGGAGAACAGTCCTACATCAAGACCGGTGTTCGGGCACCGGAGCCTAACAAAATCTGCTCCAAACCATTAAAAGGGTTTAGCGTTTAGGCTTAGGGCTTAAGGGTTTCGGTTTGGGGGTTTAGGGTTAGGGTTTTAGGGTTTAGGGAGAGCACACGAGAACATTCGGAACCAACTACCTAATGTATTCATGACATCCGTATACATTAACCAGGCAGTACTCCTCCAAAGAGTACCTACAGCATCTCCACAGTCTTCACGCTAAGGCCTAAACAGAACGGTAACATACCTGCTTGTGCAGTACCCTAGGGGACGACAGGTTTACGTTTGGGATTATTTTGTAAGCATTAGTATTATATTGCTACTACTGCTACTACTACTACTACAACTACTACTACTACTACTACCACTACTACTACTACTACCACTACTACTACTACTACTACTACTACTACTACTACTACTACTGCTACTACTACTGCTACTACTACTACTACTGCTACTGCTACTGCTACTGCTACTGCTACTGCTACTGCTACTGCTACTGCTACTGCTACTGCTACTGCTACTGCTACTGCTACTGCTACTGCTACTGCCACTGCTACTGCCACTGCGACTGCGACTGCGACTGCTACTGCTACTGCTACTGCTACTGCTGCTACTACTACAACTACTGCTACTCCAAAAGTTTAAAGGTTGCCAACTCTGCTACTAAGCATTCGAGACTCCCCAAACAGGGCCCAGGAGCAAAAGGGACACAGTAGCTACATCGTCGGCGCCTCTCTGGCAGCCCTTCAAAAGATCGATGTAGACCTCATGCGGCTTCCTGGACTAGGTGTCGATTTCGACAGACACCCAACAAATCCAATTATTTAGGGCTCTATATAAAGGAAATCAAAATCACCCCAAATCGATACATGTTGCAGTGCTTTAATAAAGCTCGCATAACCTAAGAGCTGCGCAATCTTCCTTCAGGGGAGCAAACAGGGGGCAAGGGACTGTGCATCCTTGAATAGGCCTTATTAGACCATTTCCAGGTCCTCCCTCCTTATCAAGGCCCACATAGCCCTTGTACCCGCCAAAGGTAGACCTGTGACTGATAACCCACACTTTCGGTAACCATGGTTATCATACAGATCCAAGGGTGTTTATTCAAGGGTATGCACCACAACCATCGCTAGGGGAGGGCTCTGTCTGTGGATCAACGTGGGGGCCTTTATAATTACGACAGGGTGCTGGGCAATGAGGAACCAAGAGGAAGAATACTGGTAAGATGTAGGCTTCTGAACTATTTGTGGTCAGCGTAGGGGTCAAACGGTCAAACAGAATGGCCTATGACAAGCCTCAAATGCTGCAACCCTAATCTTACCATAGAACTCCCCGAATACGCAACCCAATCTACCCAGACCTTCCAAAATCCCTTAATTAAGGAATATACCTTAAATTATAATAGGATCCCAAATATGAATTAAGGTATTTTCCTTAATTAAGGGATTTTGGAAGGTCTGGGTAAAGAACCTTTCAAAGCCTTCAATTCGAAAGGCCGTGCAACACGACAGGCCCGGAACTCTGAACCCTAATACCCTAAATCCCCAGACTCCTCAAACCTTGACGGCTCGATGACCCTGGGAAGGACGGTGTAGGGTTTTGAGTTTCGGGGTTTGGGGCTTAACGTTTGCCTGCGGATACAAAAGCCTAGTTTTAAGAGAGTTAAACCCTATAGTAGAAGCCAAAAGTTCGAAACTTAACAGCCTCAATCCTTAAGAGTCATGAACAGGGAATCCCAGCACTGATTGTCCTGAATCCGGTTTCCAACCTTTTTGAAGCTTGCTGTACTAGTTCGTAGGGTTTGGAGCAAAAGGCCTCGGTTCAGGGTCCGAAGCTCCCTTGCTTGGAGGTTCGTGGGTAGTTATCAGTAGGGTCATAAGTCCCCTCATAAGGGTTATAAGTATAGCTAGCTTGCGTTTTAACCCCACTTACAACTATCCATGAACCTCCAAGAAGTCCCCTTGCGAACTTCGAAACCCAGGCGAGAGGCCCTATAGTCCAGCTCGATTCGCCAGGCGCTGGCCCGCTCCAGGACGGAACTGCGAATGCTTAACTTCCGGGATCTTAACCCAAAGGGTGCTAAGTACCTACATATGAGAATATACGGCTTCTATAGTAGGAATTACCATTATGATGTGATACTTAGGCCTTAAAGTACAATATCAGAACCGAGTAAGCCTTCAGAAAATTAATACACGATGGTTTCATGGAGCCTTAGGGTTAATAGCCAGCGTGAATTTTTGCGTCTACTACTGCATAGAACATCGTTATTCCAAACAATTGACGGCTTCTGCACTGGTCACTGAGGGGCTTGCCTGGGTTTCGGGGCCTGAAAATGAAGGGTTCTATACGAGAGTCCTCTATTCTCTGAAACAAGGGCTTTGCAGGGTGCTGACAAACAGAAACATTTTGTCGGTGGCTTTTCAACATCGGGGTCCGGTGTTACATGTGCATGTACTAAGCCCTAAGGGTGCGGGCACCCAAATTGTATGCACTGTGGCCCTACAGTAGCCCCTATACAAGTACTTTTGGGCCAAAGTATATACTCTTTGGGTCCCTAAACCCTTAGGGAAGGATCCTATGATTTAGGGTCTCAGTCTCAAACTCCCTTCACCACAAATCTCAGGGCTCAGGGTCTGGGCACTTATGGTTTGGGAAAGTGTCTTGGGGTCTTGAGGGCTTTTGGGACTGAGGGCTTATGCCTTGCTTTCGCTTTGGGGATGCTATAGGGCGTATATTGCAAGGAGGGGCGCTGTACACCCACACTTGGCGATGTACGTGTCGACATTACACGGAAGCCCACTGAGATGCGGAGGCCAAGTCGGCGACCAAAGCACTCCAAAGCACATGCTGGGCATCCGAAAATCGCAAACTGCCCCAAATACACATCAGCAAAGCAGCTGCAATAACCCGATCCTGCACTGCTGCCTCCACATTCAGCACAAGACGTTCGAGCTCCACGATCACAATCAAGGGAAGGGGCATGGCCTCCTTCCTCTCGCCGTCGGGAGAGACCATCAAAGCATCAAAGTGGTTCGTAAGCACGTTCCCAAAAAGCCCAGTGCCCCTGAACTGCAGAAGTCTTTTCAACAAAACTCGAGGGGTCCTTACAGCTGTTGTACGGTATAAAACCACAGTGCGGAAGTATTACTCAGTACTACTAAACTCATTAATACACCGTAATTCACGCCGGGCATCCTACTATAATTGACGGAATACTCCTGAATTCAGTGGATTTTGGAAAGTCGGCGACCCTGGGTCCTTAAACCTAATAGTAATCCAACTGCAGAAACCCTACTTTCGACGATGTAGGTACCTCTTGAGAAACTAAACTGTCGAGGTAAACCCTAAACCTTGAAACTCTTTATTTCTAACTCCAGCCTGGGATTGCTTGATCAAGCGATGGAGCTTGCAATGAAGACCCAAAACAGTTTGCACACTTCGCAGGTTCCCAACCACGTGGCTAGCTAGACCCGTCCTACGCCCCAAGAACTCAGCAGTGGAGCTTGGTATATATCAGGTTTTCGACACTCAACAAACAAGAAGTAGACTCGGGGTTTGGGGTATATTGTGGCATAGGGTTTGAAGGAATAATTGAAAACTTTCATCAGTGTAGGATTCAATATTGGGAACAAGACTCGGGCAAGTCTTCAGTGAGATTGAGGAGTCGCCACGAGAAAAGCAACACAGCCTGCCTGGCTAGGCGCACTTCACCTGTCTGCGCCATGGCACGCGCAACCTCCCAGTCTCAGGTTCTCGGGATCAGGATTTGGGTGGTTGTCAAAATTAGGATCCTTTTTTGGGTCCCTAATCCAATACGGCACCTAATATTTAGGGTACCCAAAAAGGGACCATACTTTTGACAACCACCCATTTAGGACTGTGTGTATAGGTTTAAGTTTGTGCCGTCTGGTCTAGGCTTATATAGGTTTTGGACAACGGTAGAACTTTTACGAAGCAAAAGGGGCGGAGATGAGGAGCCATTTTGGGTTAGGCAGCATCGCCCTAGACCTACATTGAAGCGCCATTTTGAACAATCTACCCGTAGGCTCCATAGTAGTTCCTTTTTGGGATTACCTTTCAGGATTCAAAAAACATGAACCTCCCAAAAAAAGGAACTACTATGGAGCCTGTGGGTATTTTCTGGTTCGGGAGACTCAGAGAAAGCGTCAGCAAGGCCAACCCCTGAGCTTCAAACCCTGAACCGCAGGTTACAGAAGGTTACGAACCAGAGTAGGCTGTTAGGGTATACTGCTGTTGATGATATAAATCCTGCATTGCCTTAAGGACCCTAAACTATTGGAACTATGGTATATTCCTTACTATGGGTAGTGCAGGAATTAGGTCGTCAACCGTATTCTATAATAGCTGAAGGGAAAACACTATGCTCGAAATATGAGGACCCGTACATGAGATCCAGGCGGCCCTTCCGAGGGATAATGCATAGGGTTTAGAAAGCAAGCAGTGCTCCGAACTGAACCTGAAACTAGGGTTTGAGGTTTAGAGGTTCAGGGTTAAGGGGTTGCAAAATCGGATGCTTGGCAATCGCACTGAAATACCCCCTACCTTAGGGCCCCATAGTAGTTCCTTTTTGGGGTTCATATTTAGAATCTTATGCGATAAGACCAAAAAGGAACTACTGCTTGGAGATTTTTGTGTAGTTAGAAGTGGGCTATCTGTCCCTGAATAAGGGCTATAAGTATAGTTACCTTACTTATAAGTATAGTTGTATTAAGTACCCATGAACCTACAAGTAGGCCCTAAACCCTATACCCTTATAGAACCCCTACAGATCCCTTTAAAGGGGCCCTTACAGGAATCCTGAACTACTATGGGGCCTCTCGGTGGACTTCAGGGGGTTTAGGACGGGCCCGGCCCAAGGCCCGAGCTCTTGCGACCCTGGTCCTAATACACCAAACCCTTGGGGATTTAGGGTTTCAGGGGTTTGTAGGGTTTATAGGGTTTAGGGGTTTATAGGGTTTAGGGGCTTCGGGGTTTAGAGGGTTTAGGGTTTAGGGGTTTAGGGCTTATAGGGTTCAGGGCTCTTCTGATGTGGTATTTGGTGCTTGTAAGAGTTCCTTCATATCAGGGGTTTCAGTTGGGTACTGTCCCGATTGCGTTACAGTCGATACTAGGGGCTTAACAAGGGCTCTATACAACTGGAAAAATACGGTTGATGATATGAGTCCTGCATTACCCATAATAAGGAATATACCACAACTCCCGTAGTTTAGGGTTTTTAAGGTAACGCAGGATTTATATCATCAACAGTAGTGGTAGCAGAATGTAGTGAGATGGAGCCTCTGGAACCCAACGCGAAGCCGACCCAGGGAAACTAAGGACTCCCCAAGATGCACAACAACCGTGCCTTGCCCAGACGTTCCAACATCCGTTAAAATAAGGGGCCTTAATAATTACAATAGGATATTGGTTGGGGCTCATTATACTACAATTAGAGTGAGGAAACCCCAAACTTAAATAGTACAGGCACTTACTTTGGCTCCTGCCTTAGATTACAAGCGGATCCTCAATATGATCTAGGCATCGTCCTTAATTAGGGGGGTTTTGGAGCCTCTGAGACTGAGGCTTTGGGAGGCAGTGTGAGTTGACTGACATTGCAAGTGTGAATGCCTAGAGGCTCCATAGTGGTTCCTTTTGTGGTTCAGTTTGGGGATCCTAGAAGGTAGTCCCAAAAAAGGAACTACTGTGGAGCCTATGGGTAGTTGCGAGAAAACAATGGGATCATAAACAGAATGCAGCGACTGGTTGTCAGAAACAGCATGAGCAAATAATCCTTAAGCCCGTAAGCCCTGTGATCCGAGCCCCCACCCCCCCACCCCCCGGTCCACCACCGCAAGAAATAGGTAAGCATGCACAAAACATACCCCGCGCCTGATCCAGCGGAGGGTGTTCCTCACACGCCTGTCGGCGATAGACCTTCTTCCATTCCTGGGACAGGGGTATCTCTAACTGGAGTGAAAGCTTCCATGTACCTTTCAAGGCTTATGGCTTACTTTTTGCCTGCATTTGGATCCTCATTGAACTCTTATATGCATACTACTCTTCATGATATAAACCCTGCATTACCCATAGGGAATATACCGTAATTCCCATACTCTCGGGTTATTAAGGCAATGAATCCAATAAAAGGGGGGACCCTTAATCAGGACCCCTAGGTAATATACCCTTTATATAGCTACTATATAGCCCATTATAGGGTGGGGGTCCCCATTAAGGGTCCCTCCTTTTCCCCTTTGACGAAACATGTAGGTCCCTAAACCCTATACCCTTATCGAACCCCTATTGGCCCCTTTAAGGGGACCCTTATACCTACCCATGAACCCCGGGTCCCTCCTTTTCCCCTTTGAATGAAGAGAGGGTTTATACTAGACCCAAGAGTAGCCTAGGAATAAAAAGGGTGCCCTTTTTGGTTTAAAGGGGCTTATAAGGGAACCTGAACCCCCAAAAAGGGCATAAGGGCCTACTCTAGGTCCTAGTTAGATATTCCTTAATCATCGCCATATCCCTTCATACCCTTATAGTACCCTGTGGAATCCCCGAGCCGTATTGTGTTTAAAGGTTTGGGTCGAGTTCAGCTCTTTCAGCTTGCGAATTCGTTGAAGCCTTGACGGCTTAAGGAGCTGAGCTCCATGATCACGATCGTTGACATGTCGCACAGTCCATAAGGGCATGTCACAGTGATCCTAGACAGAAGTGCTGAAGTTTGTCGTGCTGTGAGGTGAAAAGTTTTCTCGACATTTGTGCCATGGCTCTCCGCCCTCTGTTTTCGAACTGAACGATAAAGAAGATTAGCATGGCAACGCTACCGGTCGGTGAGAACCCCAACCTGCACGACTTGCCAAGGCAAGAACAGGTTATGAGTCGCCCAAACGCTACGAGTGCAGCTTCGGCTGTGCCTAGCACTGGGCAAGCTCAGATGATGAATGGTATTTCTGGGCAAGCGGTTTCGCAGAATATGGATGGCGAGACTGTGGGCCCGGGTACAGCGAGAGGCAGTCAGCCTCAAGTTTCCCCTCAAGGCCAGTCTGCGAGTGGGGAACCTGAGCTTGTTTCTGGTGCTAAGCATGGAGCCCCTGGACCGGACGCTTATGGTACTGTTGAGCAGGTCATAAGGACCAGAGTGATGGTCACCGAGTCTCAGGAGCGAAGGCCGAGTGGTCGTGAGAAGACTGCTGGGTTTTTCAGTGGAATGATGAAGGCTGTTCAGGCGATTCCCACGGCTGTGGAAGGAATTGTGAACGGTGGCAATTTGGCCATGGCAGAGGGTTCGCCAGCAGCGAATGATGCGGTGGAGTATGCTTCTGTACGATCATCTGCGAGCATGGAAGGTCGACGCGATCCTCCGTTGGAGACGAGTGTACCGGCCACACCTCTGTTTGACGATCGGGTACTGAGCAGACTGAACCAGATGCCTGTGGCAGCCCCGCATCTGTATGTTCCCGAGGCATCCGCCCCGGAACCTGCAAGGCCTTCTTCAGTGTCGTCGAGTGACATCCAAGCAGAGGTCAGACGACAGTTGAGTGAGATGATGGCAGTTCATGAGGATGAGAGTAGGAGGCTAAGGGCCCATGTAGAGCAGTTGGCAGCTGAGAACCGGAGCCTGAGGCGCCGGGTGGAAGTAGGTGAGCATCAGGACTTGTACAGTTCACGTCAGCCGGTGAATCCGAGAGGTTTCCCTGGATTTGGGTGGTTGGGAAAAGGCCTAGGCTCTATGATGGGTATAGGTAATTCTTCGAACCCAGGCCCCAGCGTGGACTTTGGGGTCCCAGATCAGAACTCTTTGGATCCTCGGGCTCATCTGCCTTCTCGCCCTCTGGACTTAAGGGCTACATCTCAGCAAGCCGGTTCACCTGGTTTCGGAACGGGCCATGTGAGTGCTCCTCAAGGGGTTATGCAAGGGTATTACGGCTTTGGGGATCCTAGTGAGCTGGCCCCTTGTATGGTTAACCCTACGGTTAACCCTAAGGCTCCAAACCCTCAGCAGTCCCTGCCTTCAACCACGATGGAGGAGACTACTAGGCCCATAGTGGGAAAACCCCTAATGCCCCTGCCTCTAGGACCCAAGTGGCCTTCCCAAGCTCCTGCAGCACAGGTTCACGAGGTCCAAGGTGCGTGCCTGGGCAAAGGGGGGCCTGCATCAGGAATGGGTGGAATGTCTTCCACTCTGCCGACCGAGGCGGAGCGCCTACAGCGTCAACCCTCGGAAGCTGGGACGTTCCCCAAGAATCCTGCCAACCCTGTAGACCCTAGTGGTTTAGACCCTCTCAGTGTTGTTTTAACCGGTATGGCGCAACTTCAAGGGCTGATGACGGAGATTGCTAACTCCCCGAAGCAGACAGAGAAACCTGAAGTAATCAAACCAGGGGTAACAACCTTACCTGACCTCCCAAGCTCTGGACCGGAAAGCTGCCTCCTGTTTTCGGATTGGCTCCATAACTCGAGGCCACCACTTTCGGATGTGTCGGATACAAGTGAAGAGCTATGGGAGTGTACGCTACGTGAAGCGAACGAGTGGTATGCAGCGTACTTGAAGCTTGATCCCCTTGGTCGTCTGGTGTCTGTGCCAAAGCCTTCGGAGCATCTTACGAGGCCGAAGTGGACCAGGGTCTCCCGACGTATTGAGACCATGGTGCTGGCTGCCATGCCAGCTTCCGTGAAGGAAGAAGTGAGCTCAGCGCGTGTCAGCGGATTGCTGGCATTGATTTG